AATCTCTTTTGAGGTTCAGAGTTGAAAGAATATACAACAGGGAAATTTTTAATTCACTCCAGCAGGACTGCGTGGTGGTCAGGGGCTTCCTCCTCCTGCGAGGTAGGCGTCCCAGTGTCATTTGGACCTGGAGGCAGCGCCATTCATCTGTCTTTACTCTCAAGATGTAAACCCACATCCCTTCTACTCTCCCTGCAGCTTCAAACTAAAAATGTGCTGCTGCTGCTCTCTGAGCTGATTTCTACCCACAGGCCTTCCAAGTGGGTGTCCGTACTAGGACTGTAGAGTTGGACACGAAACCCGTCCGCCGCCGTGTGGCCACCACACCGTGACCGCTGAGGGCCGGGCCTGCCCCCGGCTGTGTGCTGCTGTCGCAGGGGGAAGTAGGACAGAGTGGGGGTGGGAACAGAGCAACCGGCCGGCGCAGTGCTACGTCTGATGAGTCTGGTGATGCGGAAACAGTCTGCGAGGAAGAAGACAGTCCACGGAACGCACTGCGCTCGGGGCTTCCAGGCCTGGTTCCCGACTTCCAAGCGTAAAGGGCCGGTCTGAGGAGCTTCCAGAGAAACAGCGGGTCATCTGCAAAGGAAGGAGGCCCAGGCCAGGAGCAGCTCTGGATGTCGGAAGGAAGAGGGACATCTACGGACTCTTACGAGAAAAAGGCAAATCCAGGGAGCCTGTATTTGACCAAAAAGTGTTTGTGGTGGAGAAGGAAACCGTGCCCCAAAAAGTCAGAAACACAGAAGAAACCAAAAGGAAGAAGAGGGGGTTAATAAAGTGAAAGCTTAACTAAATAATTAAGTCAGAAAGTGTGAAATTAATAAAACTAAAAGCTAGTTCTTTGAAAAGAGCAATGAAATAAGCTTCTGACAAGACTAATTAAGGGGAAACAAGAAAGAAATGAAAAAAAAATACTCAACATTAATGAGAGATGCACAGATGTGAAGATTTACAGCGTGCACACTGATATTATGGGATAACTTCTGAGCAAGACCATCTATCCAAACAGACCTGAGAAGACGCAGAAAACCGGAGCCGGCGCTAAGCATCAGACAAAACAGGTCAGGAAAGTTCCCGCCACACAGGCGCCAGACTGGCGCTGGTGAGTCCTTGCGGCCCGTGCAACTGTGCCGTCCTGGACGTGGGTCCCCAGCCCCAGGTGAGGCTTGAGGTGACGCAGCCCCTGCCTCATCCTGGCTGCAACCCCCAGAGACCCTGAGCCACGACCACTGGGCCCAGCTGCTCCCAATTCCTGGCCCCGACACCAGGGGACAGTAAATGCTAGTGGTGGTTCTGAGCTGCTGAGTTTGGGGCAGGCCGCTGAGCAGCACAAGATAACCGATAGGAGAGGGTACAGCCGTCGGGCTTGACCACGAGGGCGGAGCTGGAGCCGGGCTCCAGGAGACCGAGCTCTGCAGCGGGGAGCGCCTGGTGCCAGCGGCCGGAGTGGCCACCTCCTGCACATCCCGTCTGGTGGCCGGGCCGGGGAGCAAGCAGGCGCGACCATCTCCTTTCTGAAGCTGATTCCATGGTAGCTGATTTTACCTTTTGAAAATAATGTTTGGGGGGTGTTTTTCATGAATACAAAGTGGAGTGTGTTCATTGTATAATGTTTACAAAATAGAAAAAATAAAAGAATGGACAGACAGCTGGTGGTCTGCGCCCCCAGGGCCGGCTCGGGGGTCGGAGGCCCGGCGGACCCTCGGTCACACGTCCCACTGGTTCTGACGAGGCCCCGCCCACTGCTGCACGGCCGCTTCAGTTAAATATGGCTTCATGCCACACTGGGAGGGTTTTATCCATGACGTTAAATATTTTTGTAAAATGTCATTTTTAAATAGCCGTTCATAGTTCATTGGATTTCTACCCCATTTTGTCCGTTAGGAGGCCCTCGGTAAGAGCAGCCGGGGAGTGGGGAAGCCACACGAACAGTGGGGTGGTGACCTCGGCCCTCTGCCCCTGCCGCATCTGGGGGGGCCGGTTCCTCCCTGTGCTGTGGGCGATGGGCTCGCAGAGCGGCGTGGGTGCAGGGAAAATCCAGATCCAGGGCTGAAGCCCACGCAGTCAACCCGAGTGACCGTGACAACATGGCTCACAGCCCGTATGCAGAAGACCCAGCCTGTCACTGCTGCTCGGAAGCCCTCGCGCTTCTTGCCCCCACGCCCCCCGGGGTCGCTGAAAAGTCACTTTCTTGTGTTTAAAATTGGCGGTCTTGACTTTTAAAGAAAGGAACGGCCCTTAAATCAGTAAGTGAAAAATCACTCCCGCTAAGATGGATAAAGTGAAAAAGACAGACCCCAACAGGTGTCTGTGAGGATGTGGGGCACCCGCGACGCTCCTGCACCGTGGCGGGAGCGTAAACTGCAGCCGCAGCCGTGGACGGTCTGGTGGGTCCACAGAAGGTTAAACACAGAGTCACGCGTGGCCCAGCAGGTCTGCTCCTAGGGGTCCACCGAGAGAAGTGACAGCCTGTGTCCACACGGAGACCTGTGCCTGAACGTTCACAGCAGCCAAAGCTGGTGACAGAGGGCCGCCCGGTGGCGCAGCAGTTAAGTTCGCATGTTCCACTTCGGCGGCCCAGGGTTCGCCGGTTCGGATCCCAGGTGTAGACATGGCACCGCTTGGCAATCATGCTGTGGCAGGCGTCCCACATATAAAGTAGAGGAAGATGGGCACGGATGTTAGTTCAAGGCCAGTCTTCCTCAGCAAAAGGAGGAGGATTGGCAGCAGATGTTAGCTCAGAGCTAATCTTCCTCAAAGAAAAAAAAAAGCTGGAAACAACCCCAATGTCCATTAACAAATAGACATGGTCCATCACACCATGGAACGTTACTCAGCCGTGAACAGGAATAAGTGCCGACACACGCTGCCAATGGCGAACCTTGAAAACATCAGCCGAATGAGAGAAGCCAGACAGAATCCTCACTCTTCATGTGGTTCCATTTGTATGAAATGTCCAGAACGAGCAAATCCACAGAGACAGAAAGTGGATTCGTGGTTGCCAGAGTGACTACTATGGGCACAGGGTGAGTCCTTCTGGGTGATGAGATGTTCTGGAATCAGTGGTGGTGGTTGCACACACCTGAATGTACTGAAACATGGAGCTCACTTGAGAAGGGTGAGTTTTAGGGTGTGTGGATGATGTCAGTACAGCTCTGAACTCACCAAGATGTTTCACAAACATTTAATTGTTTGAAAACCAATTGAAGAAGCTCTCAAGTGAGTGTGTTGTTTAACTGAAGAGGCCTGAGCGCCCCCTGTTTGCAGGGGTCCGGGCTGTGCACCCCCATGTCCCTGGGGATCTGGGGTGGTGACCGTGTCCCCACCTGCATTTGGAGTTTGGGGACAGCAGAGTGAATTTCCCGGGTGCGGCTGTGAGGGTCGGGGGCCACGTGGTCCAGGCTGTGTGCTTGTCCTGCTCCGTGCGTCCGGCAGGCCCCCCGTGGGCAAGCAGAGCTTTGTGGGGCCCGGGCAGCTGCGTGGGGGAGGCAGCCGGGTGCCTCTGGGCCACTGTTCTGTCGGTCGGCTGCTTTTCTCTTTCAAAACCAGGGTGTCCAGCAGAAATATGTGAACCACACGTGCAATTTTAAATTTTCTAGTAGACGCACTAAAAATATAAAAAGAAATGGGAAATTAATTTTAATAATAAATTTTATTTAACCCCAGTATACCCAAAATATTATCATTCCCACACGTAACCCACGTAAAAATCAGTGTGAGGCATTGTATGCAGTCTGTAACGTGTGCAGTTTGTGCTCACGGCGGGTGCGGCTGTCCCGTGGGACGGGGGCGGGCCGGTGTGAGGGCTGGGAGGGATGGCGCTCCAGGCCTCAAGGCCTCCCCTGTGGGGGTGACGGCTTCTCGGGCTCCGAGGCCAGTGCTGACTGGCCGCATCCCAGCCTGCCTCCACTGTGCTCCGGGCACGAGTCTTGTCGGTAACGTGGAGGGTAGCCACCGTCCACAGGGCCTGTGAGGGGTGGGCGAGGCAGGGGCGGCCCTGGCGAGGGGTCATTCTCTCAGAAGGATTCGTAGCACACTGGGCAGTGAGGCTGCTCAGGGAGGTGGAGCCTGGGGACTGCCAGCCCCCCTTATTACCCCCTCTTGGGCCCCACCTGCCACCGTGATGAAGGGCACAGGGAGCACCTGGGGGGGACATGTAGCCGGCTCCCTCATAATTGTGGAACACGTAGACCAAATAAAACAGCCAGTTCTTTTCCCAGCCAGATGGGTTTATTTGGGAAGGGCAGAGGAACCACAACTCGAGGGACAAGCAAGCTGTAGCTAAACCACAGGCAAGTGCAGCAAACGCAGGAGAGGAGCATTACTTTGTAGAGAAAAAGGAGAAAGCTGGGAGGGGTTGTTGGAAGGAAAGTCTATTGTCTGCTGGAGGAGAGCGAGGGTGCGGGGTGGTGACGGCTTCTCACTGGCTGGGCTGCTGGGCAGGGAGAACTCCTCCTGCTGGGGTGGTGATTGACGATTCTCCCTGTTGGGTCTGTAACTGACGTCCACTGGCTGCACTGAGGACTCCCTGGTTGTGGCCTCCTGTCTCCATGTGAAATAAGGCCTCCTTTATGCTGCTTCCCAGGCAGGAGTTGTGAGGGGCCCTGGGGCATGGGAGCCAAGAGCACGGCCGGCATGCAGGGCCCAGCGGGCTGGCGTCGACTGGGATGGGGTGCCCAAGCGTGGGGTGCAGGCTCCCGTGGCTGTGGTGGCTCTGGGACACGTGTGGAGGAACCTGCAGGAAGGCGCCAGTCCCACCTCGTTGTGGCAGAAGGGCGCGTCCCTCCACCTGGCACCGGGGCCCAAACGGAGCACTAACCCTGAGCGCGTGTCTCTGCAGAGACACAGACAGACACCCAGACAGCAGAGGGATGACAAGAAGGTGAAGGTGAGGTAAGTGTGGCTTTTAACAATTTTCTTTTGCATTAATTTTTCAAAATTTGCAGATTTGTTTAGTTTTCTAAGTAATCCTCTGTATGCTTAATTGCCTTTATAAACAGTAAAAGGCAATTAAAAAGCAAATAATAATGAACAGTGGAATAGTGGAGAGAACTGGGGTAAGGCCCGGGTTCAGGCCTGCCTGAAGCTGTTCTCATCTGTGAAGTGGATGGCAGCCCCCGGGCTCTGCTGAGGGTCAGAGAGAATGGGGTGTGGTGCCGCTGGCCCCCGGGCCCCCTCAGGCACTCTGACCCTTCCCCTCAGAGCCAGCATGGGGACCCTCTGCCACTCTCTGGGGAAGGGCACACGGGTATCCAGCCCCGCTGTTATGGTCGAATTGTGTCCCCCTCAAAATTCACTTGTTGTGGTCCTAGCCCCCAGGACCCTAGAATGTGACTGCGTTTGGAGATGGGGGTCTTTACAGAGGTAATTAAGGTAAGATGAGGTCATTGGGGGGGCCCTGATCCCACCCGACTGACGTCCTAGGAGAGGAGATCAGGACGCAGACAGGCAGAGGGGCAATCACATGAGGACACAGAGGGAAGGCTGGTCTACACACCAAGGAGAGGCGTCAGGAGGAGCCACCCCTCCCAGACCGGGAGAAGACGTTCTGTGGTTGGGCCGCATCTGTGGTGCTTTGGCCCCAGGGGCCCATCTCTGCATAGGGTAGGATTGTAATGCCCCATGGAGACCGTGTCCCACAGTCCCAGCTCTCCATTTCCTGGGGAGAAGCCCAGGCTGGGCGTCCATCCATCCAAGCTGGTGGTGGGAGAAGCTTGCACACCTCTGGGGCAGGTGGGGAGCGATTTCCGAGAAGAGAACGAGCAGGCCGACGTCCCATATGGACGCAGGTGCAACAGTCTTGGAGAGGCGGAAGGGCAGCCGGGTGTGCTGTGTGCGCCAGGTTTGCCCCGAGGTGCTGGTACTCGCGTGCTGGCTGCTTGTCCCTGGCCCACTGAGGCCCGTTAGAGTGAGAGTGAAGGCATTAAAAAGGAAAAGTGCTCAGGGCGAAGAGGAGGGAAGAAGGAAAACACCCATGGGAGAGGAGAGCAGAGGCCGGTGTGGCTGTCTGCCCGCCCGGGCCTGAAGCCTGCAGCCCAGCCCAGGACTCTTCCCAGGAAGGGCTCAGACCCCGACCCTCTGGGGATCCGAGCCGCGGCAGCCGATGCCCACCCACAGGTGGGGACAGGACGGTTTCTTCCTGACAGACTGGCCGAGAGGAGAGGCCTTCGGGCCCTGGCCTTCCAGGCCCTGTTGCCCACCGTGAGGCCCACCATTCCCAGGGGCGCCCCGCTCGGCTCCCCAGACAGCTGTGCGGTGCCTCACTCTCAAGTGTGAGCAGCCGTCCCAGACGCTTGAGACACTTCTGAGAGGAAAGACGGGCACTGCGCGAACAGGAAAGAAGGCGGCCGTGTGGAAGAACAAGGGCAGGACCGAGCCTCGAGGCCCTCAGAGGGCAGGAGCAGAAAGACTCTTGGATATTGTTGAAATTTTGACAGTAGAAGTGGATAATTCAATGAAAGGGTTGCAAAATACAGTTCAGGAAATTTCCCTAAAAGGCAGAGAAGAGGAAAGATAAGAAAATTAGAGGTTCCGCCAGGAAGCCTGCCGTGGAAGTCAGAGAAGTTCCAGGAGGAGAGGACGGAGAACAGAGGCAGGACGTCATCAAGGAAAGGTACAAGGACGTGTCCCAGAACAGAAGGGCGTGTGCACACCCGGTGCGCCCCGCACCCTCCACCCTCCTGAGACCCTGCATGCCGTTGGGGAAGACCCCCCCAGGAGAAGAAGAAAAGCATCCTACGTGTGATTCAGAGTCATGTGGCTCCAGACCCCTCAGCACCGACCCCAGGAGCTGGAAGGCGTGGAGGACCGTCAGCGTCTCGTGTCTGGGGGTGGCCTTTCACCTGCAGCCCGCGCGCAGCCTGCCTGCCGGCCAAGGGTTAGTGCCCAGTGAAGACGTTTCCAGACAACCAAAGACTTGATAATGTTCCTCCCCTCGTGGTTCTTCTCAGGAAGCTCCTGGAGAATGTGCTCCTCTAGAACCAGGAGGAAACCGAGAACGTGCAGACTTGGAAGCAGGAAATGCAGGACGTACCAGGAGAGAAGGGGGAAGGGGCCCCGGGGCTGGAGAGCAGCGTCCAGACTGAGACAGGAGGCAGGGCTGGAGAAGGGCGTCTCTAAGCAGTGGTGGGGTGTGCTGAGAGAGGCTCTGTGGGGCTGTCGGAGCGTCCCGTCAACGATGGCCACACGGAAACCTAGCGGCTGCGAAGTGGTGAAAATCTTTCTGTCGCCCTTCCACCCTCCCGTTCTTTAGACGGGATCATTCCTATTGATCCGTCTTCAGATTGACCGACTCCCTGTCTGCTGTCAAGCCCAGTAAGTGAACTCCATTCCGGTGATTATACTTTTTATTAGAGAATTACCTTTTAGTTCTTTTATGTAGTTTCGTGCAATTTTTGTTTCTCCCTCTCTGTACTCATCAAGACCATATTTTCCTTTAAGTTTTTGAACATTTTCCATTTATTCTTTGAACACACAATAGTTGCGTTTGCTAAATCCAACATCTGTGCCACCTTGGAGTTGCTTTCTATTATCTGGGTTTTTTTGCATTTTCTCCCTTTGACTATGGGTCACATTTTCCAGTTTCTTTGTAGATCTTGTGATTTTTATATTGTGTATTGATACATTGTAGAGATTTGGGGTTCTGTTGTCTTCCTGTGAAGAATGTTGATTTTTGTTCTCGTAGGCAGTTAATTTCTAGCTGATTACCTTGAACTGGCGGCCGTGGTGTGACATTTTGTTAGGTGAACCCTTGTCTTGGTGGTATTCAGCCTACGAAGGGTCCCCTGTGGGTGTTATCGGGGCTTTTGGTTTCAGATTTTGGGGCGAGTCTAGAATGGGGCTCACTTGGCTGGTCCTAAGGTGTGGTCTTTCTGGAGTCTCAGCTAGGTGCCGAGCTCTGGGCTGGACTGGACTCCACTGTGTCCAGCACTGCTTGACTGTTAGCGTCTCTGTTGCGCTCGCGGCCCTGGGGCAGCTGCTCCTGGGAGCTTTGGGGGCCCTGCATTGCTCAGATGCACTTCTGGTGCCCTGAACATTCCCTCCTCCTGGCGCCCTGCCCTGAAGATGCGCCGCCACCTCCTCTCGGTGGGGCGCTGTCCCCCCGGGGCCCCAGGTCAGTGGTCTTGGCTGGGAGATTGCCCTGGGCAGCAGCCGGCCATCCTGGGGCCCACCTTGGGCGCGGCCCCGCTGTCAGGAGGCAAGGTGGTGTGTTGCCTGTTGTCCAGAAGTCAGGGGCCTAAAATATGTTGTCTGGATGATGTTTGCAGTGGGAGGGCCAGCCCAGCACCATCGCTCCGCGTGGCTGGAGCAGAAGCCTGGAGCAAACTGTGCAAGAAAGGAAAGTCGCTGTGGTCCACACGCGGCTCAGCTGTGAGCATGTTTATGTGGCTGGGCTCGGCTCTTCGTAGATACTGAGTCAGAGCTGTTTTAGGAGGTTGCGGGATGTGGGGGCGCTGGGGTACCAGAGTGAATTCTTACCTTGAATTTGATTAGTAAGACGGGAGCCTCGAGAGAGAACCTATCAGCGTATTAGTTAGAAGTAGGGATGTAAATCTCCAAAGGAGTAGCCAAACCAGCTCCTGCGAGTGGTTCCTCTAGGCGGGAGCTGGGGGGAAGGAGGCGCGGTGGCGGGATCTGGGGTTTACACGCTGGGCCACGTGTGTGTTGCTGGGCTACAAATGAAAACTGCATGTGAGAAGGAAGTGTTTAAGGCCTCATGTGAACAGACTAAAGCAGGAAGAACAGGATGGTCTCCATAAATGTAGGAAAGTGTCTTGCATAAAACATGCCTTCACGGGAACCCTGTCGGCCACCTGGGTTTGGTCGCAGCTTGTTGCCAGCCTGGATGGTTAGAGCTGGTGAGCCCATGTGGGTTAGCTCGTGGGTCCTCATGGCAGGTCCACCTCTGAGTTCAGCACTAAGCGTCCCCAGGTCCAGCAGGGGGAGCCGAGGCCACCTGGGCCTCCCACCTCTGAGACCACAGAGGTGGGCCTGCATGGGCCCCCCCATCAGGATCCAATCTCCCCTCTGTGTGGAGCCCGCAGCCTCACTGCAGCTTGCTGTCTTCTGCACTAGCTCCTCACTCCTTGAGCTGCCTGCCGCCTTCCCCATCCTGCCCTGAGGATGGACCCAGGAGACCCCACTGCTGGAGACACCACTGCTGGAGACCCCGCTGCTGGAGACCCTGCTGGCGACCCCGCTGGTGGTGAGTGCCGATCCACAGGAGTGCCCCTCACATCCCCAAGTCTGACTGGGTTGCGCTTGGCAGGGCTACCTGTGGGGTGGGTGTGAGCTGTGTGCAGGGTGCATGTGTGGAATGCACGTGCGTGTGTGGGGTGCATATGCCAGATGCATGTGTGAGGTGCATGTGTGGGGATGTGCACATGTAGGGTGTGAGTACACGGTCTGTGTGTCTGTGGTGCACACGCAGGATGTGTGCTCAGGGTACGTGTGCAGGGTCTATGTGGGGGGGTGCAGACTGCATGTATGTATATGGCGCCTGCACTTGGGGCACATGTGCGCACACTGGGCAGGGACCCCAGGTGGGAGGGGTCTGGGCGCTGCGGCTGTGTGTGGGTCTGGGGCGCATGGGGCGGCCTCAGGTGTGGACGCGGGTGCCCAGGTGGCCACCAGCACAGCCTTCCTGTCCTGAGGGTCAGGGCAGGTGCTCCCCTTTGCCCTGGGAAGGGTCCTGCCGGCCCTGGGGTACAGGACCGTGGCCTCGCCATCCTGCAGTGGCTGCCTGCCGGCCCCTTGCTTGACAGCAGAAATGGAGGACTGTCTGTGGCTGGACGGACACTCAAATGTGGGGAGCAGGGGTGCGTGTGGACTGCTGGGAATGGTGGGCTTTGCTCTGAATCCTGGTGCTGCACCCCAGGCTAAGTCTGTCCTCCCCAGAGCTCTGGTCTGGATGCAAAGGCATTTTATCCGTCTTGCCGAGGAGGAGGGAGCTGGGACGTCTCTGAGAAACAGGAGCCCTGGGCCAGGCACGGAGAGCGTGGGAGCTCAGGGACCACTCGGACCCCACCTCCACCCAGGCTCCGAGGAGGGGTGGTGCAGGGCGTGGGCCCTGGGTCCTGGCTGGAGATGAGGGGCCTGTCTGGTCACAGAAGTCCCCTGAGCAGGGGAGGCATTTCACTTTGGCGGCTGTAGATGTGATCAGCAAAATGCTGTTTTCTTGTTTCCATCCTAAGAACTCGTCACAAGAGTCCCAGCATGCCCCTTTTGTCTGGCAGCCACTGTTCCCAGATGTTCCCCACAGTGGCCTCCAAACTGGGTCATCACGTTTAGGGCATCTGCTCTGGCCATCAGGACAACCGGAGACAGGAGCGGGGACCCAGGGCTGGGGGTCCGGGGCCCAGGGCTGGTGGGGGGTGGGGTGGGCAGGGACCTGGGGCTTAGAGGGTGGCAGGTGGTGCCCGTGGGGGACATGGGCACATGGGGCATCTTCAGGCCCCCAGGCAGGACCACTCTCTCTCTTGGGGCTACATCCTGGCTGGCGTGTCAGGCCCTCTTGTGTCTGCCCTTTTCCCCTGGCCGCGTGTGGGGTGGGGCCAGCCCTGATGTCACACCTGGATGTCACACCTGAAGCTCGGCCTGATGGTGGGCAGAGCGGGGCCTCCTCCCCGGGCTCTTCCATGCTTCACCCTTCACCTGCTGGAGCTGGCAAAGGGGCAGGCCACTGGAGCAGTTCTGCTGGGGCCTGGGGCAGAGTTTCATCTCCTTTCACTCTGCGCTGCCTGGAATGACGTGCCCTGCAGAAGGCCCACAGTCACCCCAGACGAGTGCAGACCAAGGGTCTGTCGCAGGGTGGTCTCCTCTGTCACAGGCCGCCCCCTCATCCCTGCTGCTGCTCAGGCTGCCCAGGCACTTGTTCTGCTGTGACCCCTCCCCCCCTCCTGGAGTTGTCCTTGGGGGTCCGGACCCACCCAGAAGGCACCACAGCCCCCTGGTGGGGCCTCCAGCCTGCCCTTCCCAGCTGAGGCTCTCTGCCTCGGTTTCCCCCTGACACACCTGCTCCTGTGGGAGCTGAGACTCTCTGCAGGCTCCAGGGCTACACCCTGTGCGCCTGCCGTGTTCAGGGAGCGTTGCGGGCGATGCAGCTGCAGCGCCATGTGAGATCCAGCCTCGGCACTGCAGGACCATATCCCTGGGGCAGAAGAGGAGACTGAGGCTAGAGGGGTCGGGCTCCTCCCAGGCCAGGACTCCGCCTCCAGTGGGCGAGTGGCATCTTCGGGGGGCTGCCCCTGTGCAGGGCCGGGGTCCCCTGCTGGGAACTCGGGCAGGCGGGAGAGCAGTGAGTGAGCAGAGCGCTGCCCCGTCCTGCAGGTGGTGGGGAGCCAGGACCCCGACGGCCCAGCTGGGCCCCTCCCAGCCTCTGTGCCACCCACCAGGATCCTGGAAGGGCTGCGGCGTTGGCCCTCTCCTGTGGCGCCACCCTCAGGTGCACACAGCCTGTCGGAGTGGGGACCATCCGGGGCGGGGACCGGGCACTGCCTTCCCCTCCGCGTGCAGGGTGGGCTCGTTTCCTCAGGATTCCTGAGGCCTTCAGCCAGCACCTTCTCCCACTGTCCTCCACCCGCGGTTCCTCAGGCCCTTGACACCCATCCTGCTGTGACTCCTGGATCAGACACAGCCCCCCAGATCAGACACACTCTCCATGGAATAAACACGCCGCCCTGAATAGCCACAGCCCCCCCCGAATCAGACAACCCCCCCAGGAATAAACGTGCTCCGCCCGGATCAGACATGGCCCCTGGCCTGCCTTGTGCAGCCCGGTCCCCCGCCTGCTTGGGGAGTCCAGCTCTGTTGACAAGGCTGGCCTTAGGAAGGCCTCTGGGAGAGACCTCCGGCCAGGCCTTCTTGGTGGGCATCTCGGCACCAGGGTCTGGGGTGGCACCCCCAGGATGCTTCTGGACCCTCGGCTGGTTTTGCCAGTGAGCAGGACCTTCCTGTCTGTGGACCTGGAATTCTGACACCCTCGAAGCCTCAGGGCCTCGCTTTGCCTTGGACCGTCTCGAGGGAAGGCTGAGTGCCGGCGTCAGAGGGTCCGCCTCTGGGTAGTCCGAAGAGTGTCCGCTTGGCCTCCTCTGGCCTGTCCTGCTGCTGGGGGCGGGGACACCAGGGGCAGGTGGCCGTTTCCTCCCATCCTCCCCTCTCCCGAGGCCAAGAAAACCTTCTCCAGCTGAGAACGTCAGCAGGGCCCAAAGATCGCTTCCTGCCTGAAAACGTGGCCCTCGCGTGGGCAGACATGGCTGGGCCTCGTCGCTGAAGCCTGGCTGGTTCGGGTTTTGGGGGCGCTGGACGGGCCTTGGTGAGGAACCGGGAAGTCTGGTAGACAGAGTGAAATCGCTTCTCAGCGGAGGGAGGGCAGGAGCAACACTGCAGGAAGCCCATTCCTCCCCTCCAGTCCCTGCAGGCTTGTGCTGAACCTGGAACCTCCAGCTGCTTCCTGGAGCAAGGCCCTCCCAACGGCCCACCCTGTGTGCCGGCCACTGCATGGCTGGCTCCACCTGGTGTCAGCTGCTAAGGGGAGGGCTGCCCCTGGCCCCTGAGGCTGCGGAACCAGCCTTGGGCTGTGACAAGAGGGAGGCCATGAAAACAGGCAACACAGCCCCCTGCTAGGAGAGAGGGCTCGCTTTCCTTGCTGTGTGACCATGGGCAAGTTACTGAACCTCTCTGTGTTTCTTCATCTGAGAAGAATGGTGGTGACACTCAGCTCCATTTGTGTGTCCTGAATGAAAATCCACGAGAACATCAAGCTTGGAGTGTGTGCCTTGTGATCTCGTTTAGTGTTGGATCCAGGTGGAATTTATTTTGCTGTGAGACGTGAGGTGTGGGTCCAGCTTTACTGTATTTCCAGAAGACCGTTCAGATGTCCCAGCAGTACTCAGTGAACAGTCCACCACTAGTCCCGTACTGGACTCCCCCACGAGCTGGGGGCTCTCCAGCTTCCCCTTCGGTTCCTCTTTGTCTGTTCAGGTGCCAGTTTCACATGTTTTAGTGGCTGTGCTTTCATGATGTTTCAGCTTCTGGCAGGACAAAACCCCCTCCTCGCCCCTTTTTCAGTTTCCCTTTTGTTTTCCATGCAGATGGCAGAATGGGCTTGTTTGGTTCCTCAGAAACCCTGCTGGCGCCTTGAGTGGGTCTCCCCGAGTTTGTGGTGAACGCCGGCATCCGGCAGCTTCTCTCCTGTGGGGCAAGGCCCCTGGTCTGCTTCCCACCCTCGAGAGGGACTGAGGAGCAGCGGTGCCTTCCCTGGGGGTGCCCGCCCGGCTGAGGCCCTGAGGGACGAGCCGACCGCCAGTCTGAGTCTGATGCAGCAGCCAGTGCACTGGACAGGCTTCTGCGAGGGGGCGTTCACTGGCGCATGCTCCTTTGTCCTCAGAGGTGTTTTCTTTTAATAGATCTTGCACATTTTCGGCCACTTTTTAGCGTTAGGTGTGTCACCCTTTAAAACTCTTGCTGTTAGCAGCCTCTTTTCTTGGGCACATTTCCCTGCTTGGTGAGGGAACCCGGGGGCCCGTGCGCTGATGGGCGTGCACGCCCCCAAGGGACCCGGGGCTGGAGGAAGGCCCACTGCTTTGCTCAGTCCTGTCCGCAGTCCGCGAGGGCTTGCCTCTCCCTGTGGGGTTCAGCATCTCTCTGTGTGGACGCCCTGCCCCGGCTGTGTGCCACCGGTGCTTGGGGCTCCCGCGCTGAGGACGGGAAGGTCTGTCTGTGAGGCTCAGGGTTGGCTGGATGAAGCAAGATGACCCCGTGCAGACAACACCCCGTCACCCTGTTCCCAGATGGGGTGGGTCCTTGGGGCAGCCAGTGTGGACAGACTTACACTGCCTGCTGGGTTTGGGTGCCATGTGTGGGCGGCTCCGGCAGGTTTCTGAGCAGCAGCATTTGGATTTGGGGGCTCATGCGAGCTCCTGTCCCCTCACCTGCCACCTCTGTCCTCGCTGGGCCCCGCTTGGGAGGGGCCGAGTCCACCCATCGTGCCCCAGCCTCACCCGAGACCCGGGCCTAGAGGGCAGATGGGTGGGCTGGAGAGAGTGACGGCCCATCTCTGCAGAGGTGCCTCCCCCGCAGGGCGTCAGGAGGCCACCTGCTGCAGGGGTGTTGCTGCAGAGGGGTGAGCTCCCTCATCTGGTGTGGTGGGCAGCGCACTGGGGGCAGCCTCTCAGACCAGGCCTGTGGGAGGTGCAGCCAGGTCTGCAGATGCGATGGGGGCTCCCGCTACAACCCTTCCTCAGGCTGATGCCCAGGGTGGCCCCTGTGCTCCGCTCGTTGGCGGTTCCGCTGCTGCCAGCAGGTGCCCAAGGGCAGCGGGGTGGGGACGGCCGTTCCTGGGGCTGAAGGAGGCGGACGCTGCAACGAGCACAGATGTCCTGGTTCCTCCCTCAAGGGCCGTCAGGCCACCCCACAGAGAGGGCGGGTCTGGCCTGGGCAGCTGGGGCTCAGCGTACGTGGTGCTGCCCCAGCTGTGCCGACGGAAGTGCAGACTGACTGTGGGACCTTGGCAGATCCGTACCCAAGAGCAGCCACAGGCCCGGGTTACGGGGTCTCTCAGGGGGGCGGAGGGCCCAGGGGAGGCCCCCACTCAGGGTGGCTTTGTGGACGCACGTGCAGCAGGCTCCCTGCAGGGCAGCCAGGTGTCCACTGCTCGGCTCAGCCACACCCAGCCAGTTCCTGAGACCTCATTGCCCCCAACTCCAGCATCTTTTTAATCTTATTTCTCTCCACCAGCCTCACGACAGGCGGTAACAGGAGGTCTTTAGAGAAGGTAACTTAGCAGCTGAACATTTTCTAAAATGAGTCCGTCTCTTGAAGGGAAGGTGACTCGGTTCACGGGGTGTGTTCTGCACAAAGTGCTGTCTGCCGTCCTGCCCTTCCCTGACCCTGCGGCCCTCCTCCTCCCCTCGGCCATCTCGGTTGCTCCTGGAGGCAGCCCGGCAGCTCTCTGTGTCCGGCGGGCGCTGGGGAAGCACAGGGAGGACACAGCACAAGGATGGAGGGGCAGGTCGGAGGGCCGGCCATCCCCCTGCCCACCCCCACTCCCACGCAGTTGGAGCTGCTGTTCGCTGAGCCCCCAGCACATGTGGGGAGGGTGGGCAGGGACGGATGGCCCAGGGCACAGACGCTGATTCTTAAGCTTGAGTTTCTTTCCTGCATCCTGGACACACAGTGCCCCCCCCCCCCGACCTCCCCACATGCTCCTTGGGAGGGGTCAGGGGTCAGGCTCCAGGCCAGAAGCCATCTGCCCTGCCGTCCCAGGTCCGGGACATCAGGGTGGCATTAGCTGTGGACTTGGGCCTGGGGCGGCAGGGCATCTGACGTCCACCCCGCGGACAGAGGGCCCTTTGGCGCCGGCCTCCTGCGCTTGCCCTGATTTAGGGAAGCTGGCACCCAGCCTGTCTGGCCCCTCCAGCTGCCTGCCGGGCCCTTCAGAGGAATAGCACCCTGAGCCTACCTTCCGGTGGGCGTATGTACCCTGGCTACCCACAGCACGTCTATGCCATGCCCACACCACCCACGTATAGCCAGACCCACACCCATGCCCACGCCACCCATGCCACGCCCATGTGTGGCCACACCCACGCCTGCCCACACATGTGGGCCCACTCTACCAGCCTGTCCACACCTCCCCAGGTGCCCTCCAGCTCCAGCTTCTAGGGTTCTCCTAGCAACCACATGAGCTGGCAACTACAAGCATGTGCGTGCGTGCCTGGCCCTGGCACCATCCGATGGTCACTATGGAGTCTCCCTTAAGCCCTGGGCCACAGCCTTGAACAAGGCCAGTGTGGTCACTCTCAGGAGCTGGCAGCATCTTGAGGGTACAAACACTAAATCAACAGCCCATGAGCAGGGTTGGCTGCGGTGGCTGGGCCAAGGGCGGGTCCAGGGGAGAGCACAGCAGGGCCGGTGGTTGCGGGTGCTTGGGGAGCAGGGGGCAGGCCTGGGGTCTGCGTGACGGCTGAGGCTGGGAGGGCTGTGCTGGGCTGTGGCTTCCACCCCAGAGGCCAGCGGACCACTAGGGAGCAGTGAAGGGAGGAGCAGCCTGGCCTGGCCTGTGTCTGTAGGATTTTCTCGGGCTGGGCTTGCTCTGTGGGCACAAGTGGGGAGCAGGGAGACCCCTCAGGCAGCTGGACCGCAGGTGGGGGCCGAGGACCAGGTGTGACAGGACGTGGGCCGCCTTTCACGCCCCTCACCTGCTGCCCTGAGGTGGTCCTCTTGACCGCAGGACCCCTTCATGTGAGTGTGCCCTTCAGGAGACCCGCCCACCCCTCGTCAGGGTCCTCGGGCGTCTCCCCGTCCATCTCGCTTGGACCTACGGTCCCTGGACAGATCGTTTGCAGGTATGAGGCAGGCTTGACATCTCAGCGTTCTCAAGGAGGGCAGACTCTGGGGCCAAACTGGCCACACAACAGAGTCCGCGCATGCCCTGCCTGGCTCAGGGTCTCCACACTGGGCCCTGTCTGCCCGTCTCTGGGCCAGCACCCTCCATCTTAATGACTGTGGCTCTGTCGTAACTCAGCCTTGGGTGGGGTAGGCCTCTTGTCTCCCCGTGATTTCTGCCTGTGTTCAGATCAGCTGTTAAAAGACAGGCACTTGCAGGCCCACCCACACACTCACATGCACACTCACCCCCCACACCCACATGCTCACACACTCACACACTCACTCACACACCCGGACGCACCGCTGCTGTTTTGATTGGAGTGGTATAGAAACCGTGAGTTAATTTTGGAAGAAATTCACAACTTTACGTTGTTGATCCTGTGGTATACCCCTTCCTTAATTAGGTCTTTCTGTTTTTGTTTTTACTTTCAAGGACTATATATTTTTTTGGAGCAGTCTTAGATTCGCAGCAAAATTAAGAAAGTACAGGGATTTCCCACGTGCCCCTTGCCCCCACCACGTGCACAGCCTCCCCCGTTGTCAGCACCCCCCCCAGAGTGTCTGTCTGATACAGCCATGCACCTCCACTGATGCCTCACAAGCGCCACAGACCGTGGTTTACGCTGGGGTTCACTCTGGGTGCGGTACGTTCTGTGGGTTTGGACAAACGTGTAAGGACACGAGTCTGTCACTATAGTCTCAGCGGAGTGTTTTCACTGCTCTAAAAGCCCTCTGCTCGCAAGTTCGTGCCCCCGCCCCCGCCCCCCGCAGCCCCTGAGCTTTGCTGTCCTGGCAGTTCGGCCTTTTCAGGTTGGCTCCTTCACTTGGAGACAAGCATGAAGGTTCTCCGTGTCTCCTTGTGGCTCAGTAGCTCATGTGTTTTTAGTGCTGAATGATATTCCATTCATGGAGGGACCAGAGTTCGTTTACCAGAGTAACGATGTTTTCATTTTTGCCTGTCGGAGTTTCATGCCTGTAATTCTCCTTGCTGCTCTGCTCTGCAGGGGCCTCCAGGGCTGGGCTGGTGGGCAGGGGCGTCCTCCAGGGCACCCTCTCACAGCGGGAGCTGTCAGCCTGCGGCTCTGTGTCTGCGGGGTTTGCAGATGCTTTTGCCTGGTTGAGGAAGTTCCCTCTGTTCCTAGTTTGCTGAGTTATTTCTTAAACCATGAATAGAACTTCCTTTCACAAACTGCTTGTTCTGCGTCTGCCGAGCAGGTGGTACAATTTTTTCCTGTATCCCGTGGACGAGCCACACCACAGGCTTTCCGATGCTCAGTCGGCGTTGGTTTCGGGAATGCGCCAGCATCGCACTCGGCTCCAGTGGCCTTCGTTGAGAGTCTGACTGCTGCTGTCTCATCTGGGTCCTGCTGGGCTGCCCTGCAGGGTTTGGTTCAGGTGTCCCCATGTGGGGCCTTCCGCTCTGCGTCTGGTCTTCTGTAGGAGCCTGGCAGGTTGCCGCTGTCCCCTCGATTCTTGGGTAGATTTGCTGATGAAGCCACCTGGGCTCCTGAACCCCCAGAGTTGAACTGGACAATCTGCTAGTGACCTTCCCTCCCCCAACGTACAGGCTCACAGTCAGGTCCTGACTCTGACCCCTGACCCCACCCCCCACCATGTGAGGGGGCATGACCAGGGTCCTGACCCCAACCCTGACCCCCACTGTGTGATGGGGCATGGTGGGGGGTCCTGACCCTGACCTAACCCCACCATGTGAGGGGGTGTGGCCAGGATCCTGTGTAGGTACCAGGGGCTTCTCCTGCCATCTCCTGGCCTGGGGTCGGGGCACACCAGGAGCCCAGCCCCCTTGGCTGCCTTCCCTCCTGTCCTCCACAGACTGCAGCTGTGTGGCCCCTGATGGTTCTTGACAAAAGGACAGGAGGTTTATCTGGACGTTTCCTCTGGGTCTTGCGTTCTGTGACTCCTCACTGGGGCTGGAAAGGCTTAGAGTTGGACAGCGACGTCGTATTTCAGCAGAACTTGCACAGTGAGGAGGGGCCGGGAGCTGCTGCTGGGGAGGTGCCCAGCCCTCCGAGGCAGCCAGGGGGCTGGTGGCTGTGGGTGACTCAGAGCTGGGTGCCTGGGCCCCTGGTCTCAGAGGTGGCTTTCTTTTCCAAAACCAAGAGCAGGCAGTGGCGACCTTTCCAGGCCAGCCAGCCCTCCTTGGCTTTGACCTCAGACCTGGTCTGAGGGCGCTGTCTCTTTTCCAGTGTGAGGGTGACCCTGACCTCCCGAGGTGGGCCCAGTGTTCTGGTGGAGTCCCTGCCATGGCCAGCACTTTGTGGTCTCCATGCCCAGTTCTGCCGCGGGGGCAAGGGCTCAGGCGAGCAAGAGAGGGTCAGGGCTTATGGGTGGGGGCTGCAGGGAGCAGTGGCCGAGGTGGTGGGGAGTGCTTGGGGGAGCAGCCAGCCTGCACAGGGTGTAGGAGGAACCAGGGAGGAGAGCAGGGTGAGGCAGAAGCCAGGACCTCTTCAGGACCTCAGTAGAGGCTGGAGGCCAGATATGGTGGGCAGTGGGTGAGGGTGGGCTGTGACACGGTGCAGAAGGATGGGCGTGCCATACCCCACTGGGCTTGCCCTGACGGGCTCAGCCAGCCTATTTGGGGCCGGTCCGTGCTGCAGGCATGGTCCTGGTGTCCGACACCCCTTCCCTGCTCGTACATCATGGCCATTCTGAGACCTGCAGCCCATGATGGCTGCAGTGTGAGCCACAGGAGAGGCCCAGCACTGCTAGGTGGCTAGGCTCTGGGTCCCAGGGAAGGGACAGTGGGGAGCTCTGGCCAGAGAGGGCACAAGAGGCTGTGGATGCTAGCGGCATCTGGGGGGAGCCCCCAGTGTTGGTGGAGGTGGCTCAGAGGGCTCTGTAGTAGCCACACAGCCCCTCCCATGGCCCTTGTCTTGTCCCCCCAGGCCAGGACCCGCTTCTGTTCCTGCAGGCCCTGCAGCCGCTCTGGTCCACGCGGGAGCTGCGGCAGGTGAGCACGTGGGGGTGGACGCCCGGCTACCAGCTTCAGTGGGCTGTCTTGTCTGAATGTTCTGGTGGCACTTGGGGGTTGGAGCCCTGGGGTGAGGCCTGCCAGACGCTGGTGGACACAGGCCCCTGAGGCTCAGAGTGGGAGGGAAGAGCCTGCGGCTACCACCCAGCTTCTGCGCAACACAAGGGACCTGGCAGGCCATGGCTGCATGTGCACGGTGTGGGGCCAGGGCGCCCACTGGCCCGCCCCAGGCCTGGTCTACAGCTGCCCTTCTCAGGGAGGGCAGCCCAACAGCTTATCTGGCCAGCGGGGGGCGTGTGTGGTCCGGCAGGAGGAGGCAGCCCTGGCAGGGTTCTGCAGCCACAGCCGCTGCCCCCAGACTGCATCCCACCATGGTGGTGAGGGCACTGCCCAACCCTTGGCCCTCCTGCCCTTCGGTTTGCTCCCTGAGCAGCAGAAGAGTGAGGTCGCCCGGCTCCCCGGGAGGACACAGAAGTCCAGCTGCTCAGGCTACAGGGCCCACGGGTGGCTCAAGGGACAGGGCTGCATCCTCGTGCCAGCCTGACGAGGGTGGGCCAGCGCCCAGACCCGGGGCAGGCTCGTGAGGGTGGGCACCCAGAGCAGGCAAGCTTCGGAGCACACGCATGCTCTGGAGGGGGTGTCCGTGGGCTCGAGGGGCTGAGGGAAGACGTGCAGAGTTCACAGCTTGCAGGACATCCTCTGGCTCCGTGCTGCTTCTCGGCGCGGGGGACACCCTGGGTCAGTGGCCAGACTTCCGGGCTCGACTTCTCTCCCTGCGTGGTTGAGCCGCAAGCACTTGGGCCTCCGAGTGGCCAGCTCACTCCAGCCATCAGCCAGAGAACCAGAGATTTTACAAAAACCAAAGACTCTTTGATTTTTAAATTTTTATTCCCTGTGGCCTTGAGGTTATGACTGAGGAGACGTGACCACGTTTGTGTGAACAGATCATCTGATGTCAGACGTCCTGTGTGTCCGGGGCAGGCCTCGCGTGGTCGCTGCACGTGGCCTTGTGCATTTCTACGTCTGGTTGTCTGTCCTGGTGTCAGGCTGAGCCGGCCTTGTGGACGGGGCTGGGAGTGCCCTTCTTGCCTGTCCTCCGGATCATCAGTTGATGACAGGGATTACTTGTTCCTCGGGAGTTTGGAAGGGCGTGTGCAGTTCTGCCTGGGCCCGGGGTGGAGGGGTAAATATCTAACTAAGACCCAGTTTCCTCAAGGGTCATGGCCCCTGTGGAGGGTCCGCTCCTGGTTTTATTTCTCCCGGAAGCGCCGTGCCTCCCACGTCATCACCATTGCGGCTAGGTTCTGCACAGTCTCCGGCCCCCGCTGCCTCTTCACTGCTCTCCTCTCTTCTGTGGCTGGTCTGGCAGGCCACGCTGCTGGTCGGCTCCACTGTCCCTTTGTTCTAGTTCGTCAAGTTCTGTCCTTGTCTTTGAAATCCTCTGCCAGCCCAGGGCGCTGCTGTTTCCCAGTGTTCTGCTCCCGCCCACGTTGTCCACTTCTGGCCACCTCTTCTCTGATGCATGCACCCCTCATTCTGCTCCTCGCCACCCTTGTCCTCCTTTTCGACTCTTTTCTGAGGCTCGTAAGGTGCCTCCAGAGGAGCCCACGGTGTATGTTGACACCACTGTGCTCTTTGTTGCTACTGTGGCACAGCGCTGTCCGCGAGCTTTAGTTTCAGTGCCAGGAGGCGTGCTCTGTGGCCACTTGGCACAGATGTTCCAGGTGTCCCTGGGCAGCGAGCTCCCTACCTGGCGATTGGCTCTCAGAGCTTCCACCTGGAGGGGACACACATCATCTCCCCTCTCGGTCCACTCACCAGAGCTGGACCTAGGGTCAGGTGAGTGGACGTGCACCATGCTGCCCAGTGTCCAGTGCCCCAGGGGGTGGGGCAGGGGTGGCAGCTCCCTGCAGTGTCCACGAGGTGGTGGGGAGGTGTGGGGGATGTACTCGGAGCATGTGGAGGGTAAGGGCCCACAAATGCGGGGTGTTGAGGGACGCAGGCTCCTGCCTGGCTTCAGGCTGCAGGCGGCTGGACACCTACATGTGGCCAAAGCCCTGAGGATGAGGTGCGGACAGCCCGGACGGCCCGGGGCCAAGGAGCGCAGGCTGTGCAAGAGCAGTGGGTCCCTGAAGGCCAGCCGTGCACGTGGAGGTTGCAGGGACCCCAGCAGGTCAGGACAGGGAAACTGGGCTGCGTTTGGAGAACTGGGGGTTTTGATAGAAGGATGAAAGAAGTGGGGCGCTGGGGAGAGTGGGGTGGTGTGAGGGCTGTGGTTGTCCTTGAAGACGGGAGCAGAAGCGGGAGGTTTGGGTGCTGATGGGAGTAACCAGGATAGAGGGATGGACAAGTGTCCTCAGAGCCCCAAGGGGGAATGGCGGAGAAATGGGAGGTGGAGGAGGGGTGAGTCAGCGGGAAGGACAGTGATCCTCAAAGGGGCCCCGCGCGGTACATTCCCTGGGAGCTTGTTGGAAATGCTGGTTCTGGGGCGCACCCAGTCCTGCCAGATCAGAACCAGGTTATTTTAACAGGTCCTCTGGGGCTCTGGTGCCACACAAACCCAAGGACCATGTGGGGTGATTTCAGCAGCACTGAGCTCACTAAGGTCAGGCGCGGGTGGGTGCTAGGGGAGCAGCAACTTCACCTCTGGAATACAAGCCAGGAATAGGGGGACTGAAGACACAGAGGGTGACCGGGCACAGGCCCAGCCTGGTGGGAGGTGGGAGACGGAGGAGCGATCAGAGGGGGAGGGGAAGTCGGCCAGGGTCTCAGGGCTGGGGGACCGAAGCATCATCGACGCGGATGCTGAGACCACAGGAAGAGCACGGGAGCAGTAGGGGAGAGGGGAACAAGGGCTGGGACCTGAGGGGTTGGGCGGCGAGTGACCAGCGGCTGCTGGGCCTGGTACGCTAGGGCCCCAGGGCTGTGGGGCAGAGGGGCCTTGGGCCCCGGGCTACAGGAGCCCAGCACGCCCTCAGGGCCACTGCACGTTGTTGTGCTCTTCGTGTGTTTATTCTTTCATTTCACTCATAATTTTAGGCACACTCGTTTTCCATTTCTGTTCCCAGGTTGGTGTTCTCTTATCCCTAATCTTAGGGCAACAGTCATCCTGCCTGTGGTGACCGTCCCTCATGTGTCTCATTTTTTACCATGAGCTCATTGGAGCGCAGCTTCTCCCTTGGTGGCCAAGGTCCAGGTCCAGGTCCAGCACCAGGTCCCCTGGGTGCCGCCAAGACTGGCCTCCCGGGCCACAGGTCAGCACACCCAGGCCGTGTGGCCTGCAGGCCGTGCTCGGGAGCGGCCTTGCCTTCCCTCCTGGAGTCCAGGACAAGGGACTTGCCGCCCAATTGCTCGTCCCTGCGGGGCAGCCCCTGGGTGTCCCGCGCCTCAGCCTGGTCTCCCGCTGCGCGGGTGTTGCGCCTCCCAGCAGGCTTACCCCTCATGCGCACGCCCAGTCCTTGCAGAGCCCGCGTCCTCCCTGGACATCTGGAGAGGGCGTCTCCTGGGCTCCCCTGAGGGGAGAGCCTGCCTCTTGCTCTGGCAAGTACGCAGACTGCTCGCATGTGGCGCCTCCTGTCACAATGAGGCTGAGTGCCCTGTGCCCCAGAGTGTCCTGGGGAGGCACCACCCACACCCTGGACTGGCCCGGCCCACCGCCTGCCTGCTGTCCTTGTGCAGTGGAGGCGCTCTCGTGGGGAAGGTGCGTGCAGTCAGGACGGGGTGATGCAGGGCTGCAGACCTGAGAGGCGCTCTCCCGAGGTGGAGTCCCTGCGGGCTGCTGGGAGGGCTCCTCCCTCTCGGGGAAGAGGCTGGAGCAGAGCCAGGGGGTGCCAGGGCCCCTGATGTTGATGCAGCCGTGAGCCAGGCCTGCGGACCCTGTGGGGTATGACACGTGCAGGCTGCCCCTGCTTTGGCCCCTGCGCCAGGCGAGTGCCCCCCACAGGGGTCTAGGGACGGTGCAGAGCTGTCCTGCTTAGGACACTGAGCCACGTCGCTCCACCCCGGCACCGTCAGCCCCCCAGTCATTGCTCTGAGCGCTTTGGGCCATGGGCTGGAATGCTCCAGCAGCGGGAGGGGGTGAGGCCTGGCTGCGTGGGGGCAAGACCCCCTGCGCTTTGCAGGCCAGGCTGCAGAGGGGCTCCCAGTGGCATTCCCAGCTGCAGGCTGCGGTGTGCATCCAGCTTCCCCAGAGCCCCAAAAGCTGATGGCCACCGGCGCTGCACTGCTGGTGCCCTCGAGCTGCTCTTCTGAGCCTTCTCAGGGGAGGGGGCAGAGTCGGCCCCCAGGTGCAGAGGGCGGAGCCCTTGGCCCAGCTGAGCCTGCAGTGGGCAGTGGGCATCTCGGAAGGACGTGCCCACTCACTCCCCTGAGCCTTCCCGGGGCTTCATTGGCCACCACAGGAGAGTCCCACTGTGGAGGGCGGCTGGCCCATATCTCTGCCCGCCTCTGCATGGAGCGAGTCTGGGGGCTTCAGGGGCCGCCCCGCTGGGAAGGGGTCTGTGTTGACTTGCAGGGTCCACTTGGGCATCCATCCTTCCTGCAATGCACCCAGGCCCAGCTGCCCATCACCCAGCCACAAGAAGGATGGTGGCTCCTTTGGAAAAACCAACGCTACTGGTCAGTGGGCACCTGGCCTGGAGCTGGGAGGTCTTTACTCAGGGGCTCTTCTTCCAGCCCCCTGCCCTGGCCCGTGGCCAGACGCACACCCTCTGCCTGCTGGTGGCGGAGGGCTCGGCCACGTCTAGCGCGAGGCCCATGGTGGGAGCTGCCCCGGGAGGAAGGAGACGTGACTTCTGCCTGAGCTGCCTTCTGGCGGGAGAACCAGCCAGGAGCCGCGCGTCCCCGTCACGCAGCCTCTCCACTTGCTCTTGGAGCCTCTCAGGGCTGCTTCGCGGAGGCCACGGATGGGAACTGTGCCTGAGTGAGGTGGGACCAAAGACTGGAGCAGCGTCTTTCTAGATCTTTCCTGTCCATGAGCCAGAAGGTGGCAATTACTCAGACTCAGCTCTTCCTTAACGCCCTCCTAGGGGGTGTTGAGCGGCTGGTGCAGACCCCACCCACTCCCTGGCGATGGGGACAGTGGCCCCAGGGCTCTGTGGAAACCACGGCCCCTGCTGGGTACCCCCAGGCCCGTGGGATGTGCTGTGACCTCTGCCCGCCTGTCCCTGAGGGTGGCAGCCTCACAGCATTTGAGGCTCTTTTTGGTCTATCCAGCAGGTTCCAGTGGCCACAGCAGGGCAGTTGGGCCTCGTCTCCTTGCTCCTTACGGGGTGACCATTGGTGTGTGTGGGGAGTGAGTGCGGCTGCTGTTTCCTGAGCTCCCGGCCAGGGAGGGTGGGCCCAGGAGAGGTCCCTGTGGCCCGGGCACATCCTTGGTCGCAGTGTATTTCACTGACCTGGATGGCTGGGTCCGGCGGCGGATGCCCTGCTCGCTCTGAAGCCTGTAGTGGAGCACACCCATGTGCCCTGAGACGTGGGAGGAGAGAGCACACCCACGTGCCCCGAGACGTGGGAGGAGACAGCACACCCATGTGCCCCGAGACGTGGGAGGAGACAGCACATCCACCTGCCCCGAGACGTGGGAGAAAAGAGCACACCCACCTGCCCCGAGACGTGGGAGGAGAGAGCACACCCACGTGCCCTGAGACGTGGGAGGAGACAGCACACGTGCTCTGGGTTTTCTTTTTCCAGCTCTTACATGTCTGGAGGTCTTCTGCAGCGCAGGAGACATAAAAGTAAACAGAGGGCACTTCTAATTTTGGGTTTTTCTTTCCTTTTTTGTTTCCCATTGCTTGCTGGCCCCGCTAACCGTCACTGTCACCAAAGGGCTAGCACTGTTTCTGTACTGCGCAGGAGACCGGGTCACAGATAAGTGACTGGAGCCTCTGGGATGGAGCCTGCCCTCAGTCTGGCCTAGGGAACAAGCTCTCTGTCTTAATGGGACCATTAGTGGGGACAATGACCGCCGCCTGGGGCCTGGGTGCAGTGGACCAGAACAGAATCTCGCGGCACGGAAAGCAGTGGAGGCGAGGGTGGTGCTGAATGGCTGAGCTGGCCCCTGCATAGACCACACTTCAGAGTCTCCGCTGGGGTGGGGGGGTGCTCCCACGAAGGTTTGAGTGTGACAAAGTGACAATGAGGTTTTGTGTCTCTGCAGCAGCTCCGGGAGGAAGCCTGGCGGGGGTTTGCTGCCCTGGATAACCCGCTTGCCGGTCTCCTGGACATGCTGGAGGGCAGCCGGGGCTGGCAGGGGAAGGACCCCTCCCTGGAGGCCTGGGTCACCTGTGAGCTGCAGCGCTGGCTGCAGGCACAGCCGCGCCCGGGCCAGGCCCAGGTGAGCCCCACCGGAGGCCTCATAGGCCATGTTCCAAAGACAAGTCTCTTCCCGCCCTGCCCACCCCTCTCGGCACAGTGGGCTCCATGGTGGCCTGATCAGGACTCTGCAGCCGGTGGAGCCTCCCCATGGTGGGCGGCGGCTCGGGCACTTGGCCTTAAGACTGGCCTGTGGGCTTGACCCTCAGCCTCCTGACAGCCGGATATCCCCCTTGCCCGTGCCCTGCCCTCCAGACCTTGTCTGCTCCCAGCGTCCACCTGCGGGTGCAGGGCTGCAGTGCTGGACTTCCTGGGCCAGGCCTGCCCTGGCCCCAAGCCCCTGCCCATGTTAGGCCCCATGACCCTGACTGCAGGATGCCACCTCGTACTGAGGCCAGGTCTCGGGTCTCCCAGTGCAGCCTGGGGCTGAAGGAGCTGCAGGCCCGTGCAGTCAGGGTCCTCGCCGAGAGCCCCCCCAGCCTCGCCGGGCCGCTGGTCAGCATCTTCCAGCTGCAGGATGCAGACCGAAGCCCCCTGCTGGCCTACGTCCGTCAACTCCACCAGGAGGGCAAGTTTAAAGAAGTGAGTGTGGCTTTCCACGTGGTTCTGGGCCCGGGGAGGGGACGCAGGGCTCCTCCCTATTCCCAGGCCACGGGCAGGGTCTGCGCCTGGCGTCAGCAGGGAGGTGAGAGCCAGGCTGAGGGGCTCAGGGGTCCACCTCTCCCCCCTCCACTGTGAGGGGCTGCATGGGGGCTTCAGTTCTGGCACAGAGGGTTCCAGGGGCCAGGCCACCTGGAGGCCCAGCTCAGGGCCGTGTGGTGCCTCGGGGTCCTGGGAGCCCCTCACACTGACTGACCTGAGAAAGGGGCTGTGCACAGCCCCCCACGCAGTGCCTGGGCCTATAGCACCATGCCCGGGACTGTACCACGGCACCCAGGGTCCTTCCTTCTGTAAGCTCAGCGGCACCGGGATGCCCCGGGTCTGGCCTGGAAGGCCGTGTGGCAAACTGCTTGCTGTCCAGCCTCCAATAAATCCTGGAAACGCTCATGGGGGGCAAAGGGGAGTGAGGTTGAGGGGAAGCTAGCAACGATCCCTCTGCACACATCTGCCACCCTCCGGCCTAGATCAGACAGCCGGACTCCCCACACCTCAGCCCCGACCCAGAATCTCCCACAGCTGATCACCTCCAGGTTGGGGGCCCCTTCTCCCAGCTCCTGCCCCTGCCCAGGCCCAACCCCAGAATCACTTGGCCTCCGTGATGGCGTGGTCTGGGGCGGGAAGCCACGACCCCACCGAGACCACTCTGGGCCCAGCTGCTGCTCCTTGAGGACAGAACCAGCCCTGCAGGTCCTCATGGTGGCCCAGCCGGCTGCGCTAGGCTGGGAGACTGGCCACTTGGCTCCTGTCCCAGCAGCAAGGTCTGGTCAGGAACAGCATGCGTATCCAGGCGTCCACAGGAACAACCTCCCCAGGAGCCCTGGGCGCTGCACTTGCCGCCTCCCTGCACCATCAGGGGCCCGGCCCTGGCACAAAGGGACCGCACTCTGGGTGGTATCCACTCCTGCGTGTCTGCTGGTTCACTTGGACCAGGGCAGGCCAGCAGCGGAGACCCTGGGAGGATTCCCGAGGATGCTCTTGGCTCCTGGCTGTTGCCGGGCTGGGGCAGGATGCGTGTCCTGCTCGTGCCAGAGACCCTAGACCAGCCCCTTGGCGTGGCTCTGGGGTTTTTTGCTAAAGTTTAGTGTGGGCATCTCGGGGCACAGATCACTGGTCATGCCAGTCGAGAGGCGCCCAGGGTGTGTGAAGCATTTGGGCATGGGCTGCCCAAGGGAGAGGTCATTTGGTCCTGTGCCATGGGAGGGGCTGGTCAGAAATGACAGACGTGGAAATGTGGGTTAGTAGCTGGGAGTCTCTAGGTAAGAGCTTGTGGGGCTTCTGGAGTCTTGGCAGGTTCGCTGAGTCTCCTTTTTGAGCAGTGCCACCCTCACTGAAGCTCAGAGGGTTTGAGAGGAAGATAGAGCCCTGAAGTCGTGGACTCAGGCATCCCCAGGCCTAGCCAGCAGCTCTAGGAATGACTTGGGTCTGCATGAGGCAGCAGGGAGCAGTGGGGCCTACGGAGCACAGAGAGGAGGCGGCCCCATGTGAGGTGGCTCTGAGTGGCTGCTGCAGGTGCGAGGGGCCCCCGAGGCCTGTGTGCCTTTGTGCCCTGAGATGTGAGGATCACAGTGTGGAGCGGGAGAGGTGGAGGAGGCCCGGCAGCCCACTCGGGGTGCACCATCATTGAGGGATGAGTCCAGTGTTCCAGGAGGTCCAGACTCACTCCTGGCTCCCACCACCCCTACTGCCTTGTCTGGCCCAAGGACGAGCCTAATTCAGGAAGAGTGCTGCTCGTGGCGGCCAGGGGCAAGGCGGGCTCTGAGGCAAGATCCAGGTCCGCCCTGCATGGGTCCCTCTTCCCAAGAGTCCTGTCCAAGAGACCCATGGGAATTTAGGCAGTGGGGTCGCCCAGCCTTGCCCAGACCACTGGAACGCCCGTCCCTCGGAGGCGCGGGCCATGTGTGGGCAGCGCTGGGCTCTGCCATGGCCTTGTCGCCTGACACGCCCAGCCCAGGCCTTCATCTCCCGGCTGCTGAGTGGCGCTGAGAGACCACGATGGCCACGCCGGGAACAATGCGGGACTGGGCTCCCACTCAGGTGGCGCGAGGCCGTTCTCCGCAGGCCGGATGGGTGGCGGTGCCTGCGAAGAATGCAGGGAGGCAGAAGGCAGGCTAGTGTTTCGGCCGTCTTCTGTTACACTCAGCCTTTCAAAGAGTGTCTGGGGCCTGCTGAATGCTCCTCCCTTGCGCTCCGAGGCAGGAATCCCAACACAAAGGGGGCTCTTGTCCCGCACAGGCCCCTTCTGCGAAGAAAAGCCATTGTCCCGGAGCGGGGCCGCCCGGCAGGCGGTGCATGCTCCAGTGCCCACCGCCGCGCCCAGCCCGAAAGGGGCCGCATTCAGGCCTGTCCGCTCGGATTAGCAGGGGCTCATGACTTAATGTGCGGCGATATTTCATGTCCAGGCGGCGGCTGGCTCTGGGCGGGATGAATGCCTGCTTTTGTCTACTGCGTTATTTTATTTACATTTTTTAAACAGCTTATCAAGGTAAAAAGATAGCTTTGCTTTAAAAAAAAAAAAAAAAAGGCCCCTTGGCTCCAGGCCTGCGCTGAGCCGTGGAGGTGGGAGGCGGGCCCATCCTGGGGTCTGAGGCCGCCGAGTCCGCCCGGTGGAACAGACGGACCAGGGTCCTGGGGAATGCTTCTCTGTCGCTGCCGCCACGGCCGCTCTGGGTTGCAGCCAGCATCTCTCTTCTTAGTGGCCTACTCTCATCCTTCTATGAGGAGGTCAGCAAGCCCCACCAGGTGCCAAGTGGGCCCAGCCCTGGGCAGTTTCCTTCTTGGGGTCCCCTCCACCGGGCCTGCATCTGGGGCCAGCAGTTGATCTGCCTGCACCTTTGGGGCCTGCCGTGTGACCAGGCAGTGGGCAGGGGCGGCCTGGCCTGCCACCACCTCAGCAGAAGTTCACACTGAGAAATGGCCTGAGATGAACAGAACCACACGGAGCCCCTGAGCCCCAAGACGGAGGGCAGGCCAAGGGGCTTCCTGGTTCTGCTGCCAGTCGGCCCCCAGCTCACCACAGCCACCCCTGATGGAGCCGAGGTGTCCTCCCTGAGACTGAGCCGCCTCCCCCTTGTCCTGTGCCCACCCCTCAGCCAGCCTCCAGGCTGTGTATGCAGGGTGTGGGTGCAGAATGAGGGCATCTCCCAAACTCCCTGGGGTGTCTATGGCCTTCCATCCCCCAACACGCTGGCCCCCCCACCCCCTGCAGCGTCCACACAGGCCACCTGGCCAGGAGAGGGCACTCTGGGTGTGCGGAGAGCTCCAGCTGGGCCTGGACAGAAAGCTGGCTGCGCTAGAGGAATCAGGGAGGAGAGGAGGGCTGTGCTGTGCCCTTCAAGCTCCTCCTGAAAGCGTCACTGTGTGGCCAGGAAGGGTGTGTATGCATCTCACAGGTGAGGCCTGAGCTGCATGTCCAGGGAGGGCAGGCTCCAAGCATAACCTGCCCTTCCATGCTGGCCCTCCACGCCCTCCTCAGCCAGTGCACACTGAGAGCCCACTGCATAGGCACTGCAGGCCAGGGCCTGACCGCAGGGCCACAGCTGAGTGGGCTGAGGCTGGCACAGCAGGCCCCCTGGAAGCCGTTGGCTCCTCGGCGGGAAGGGAGTCCTGGCAGGCAGGAAGGGGAGCCTCCCCGTGGGCAGTGACCCAACTCCAGGCTGCCATACATGAGGAAGCTCCTGCTGCTGCTGTGAGGGGCAGTGCCCCCCGCGACCCAGGCCGCCATCCCAGGCCACCCCCAAGCTTGAGGCCTCACTCCAGGATTCAGAGAGTTCTTGGGTGCCTAGGGGGCCCACTGAGGGCTGGACCCACCAGATGATGGAGACTGATAACCCAGCAGAGATGATGGGGGAGCTCACGGTGCGGCTTCACGTCCCTGCTCACCTCTCCTGCAGTCCCTGGCCCAGGGCCTGGCCTGGGGGATGGGACATCCCAGGCCCCCAGGCCTCCCTCCCATGCCCTTTCTCCTCCTGCTGTGGCCTGGCCTGTCCAAGCCCAGGTCCAGGCGTTGGCCCTGGAGGAGCCTGGAAGCCAGGCCAGAGCACAGCAGACGCAGGACAGGGCAGGGGGCCTCTGACTATCCTAGGTTCTGAACTTGGGGTGCGAGGCCACTGGGTGTGCACACTGGCCTTCCTGGGTGAGGGTCCAGTGCGCTCAGCTTCTCAGCAGGTGTCCAGTCCAGAAGAGGTCCGAGCCATCCTGTGAGGGTGGAGCAGCCCACAGGGAAGTTGGCAGCACGGTGGCCCTGCCCCCCTCCCACCGTCCTGAGCCCCTCCCCCTCCCCTGGCTCCTCCCCAGGCCCTTCCTCCCACCCCTCTCCCAGCCTCTCCCCCAAGTTCTGCACTCCTTCCCAGCCCCTCCCTCTCGCACCTCTTCCCCATCCCCCTCCTGGTCCTGTCCCTAAGCCCCGCACCCCTTCACCAACCCTCTCCTCGTCTCCCCAGCCCTTTCCCCGCCCCCTCCCTCTACCCCCGGCCCCACGGGGCCTGGCGAGGCCGAGCCCTGGACACCAGCCAGGCTGTGGAGCTGCCGGGTCAGCGCCGGGCAGGGAAGTGCCCCGGCCCTGCGCCCCCGCCCCGCGCGACCGGGGCTGGAGACCGGAGAGCCTTTCCCAGGCCGCTATTTTGGTCCTCTCTGCGAGCGGGTGGCCGGCTGCTCTGCGGTTATTTTTGCTCATAATGGGAGCGCGATGTATGGAAATTATTAATAGCAGCGCTACGTGCGGGCGCGCAGAGCAGCGGCGTTTCTCTGCCGGGTACAGGAGAAGCTGGGCCGGGGTCCGGTTCTCAGGTTCTCAGCCGGGCGCGCTCCCCCAGCCCGGCGATGGCTGCCCCGGGAAGCGGGCGTGCGCGGCGCCTCGCGCTCCGTGGACCCAGGGGCAGCTCTGCTGGCCCCCAACACCGATCGCACCAGGTTCTCCTCCAGCGCTCCAGGGGGGGCCGCCCACTGCACGCGCAGACAGCCGTGTGCTCTTAGCGGTTTAGGGGCGCACAGAGTGTCCCTTGTGGAAAGTGCTCAGAGGCCAGGAGGAGCCCCTGCACGTTCTCAGGTTCTCAGGCCGCAGCCCCTCGCACCTCCAGAGTGCACAGAGCAGGGGTCCCCCGCCCTGGCCCCTTGCTGTGGGCACCATGGCTGCCACGCTGGGCACTTACCTGAGGGGGGGCGGTGCTTCTGGGAGCATTGGGGCAGGTGAGAACAGGTGTGGGGAAAGTAGCGTGTGCCAGTGTCGGGATTCCTGGGCATCCCGGCCCGTGGATAGGTGATGCCAGTTTCTGCCTCTGTCTTCTGCCCTTCCCTTTGAGTCCTCTACCCATTCATCAGCCCTGACCTGGGCCGCTTGGACCCAGCACCCACCTCGAGGCCCCATCCAGGCCACACCCCAGTCTGGGAGGCACAGGGGTCATTTCCACCTGCCCCACCCCATGTGGAACCTGGCTCAGTACAGGCGGGGCTTGTCAGCTGGGATGCTTCTGGATTCCAGGCCCCTTGGCCTGGAGGCCATGCCGCTGGACCAGAACAGTCCCCATCGCTGTGCCTACCTCGACTCAGAGGTGACCAGGCTTCAGTGCAGAAGGGCGGAGCCCTCACCGCGAGCTGCTGGTCCCTCCTGGCCCAGTCTAACCCACTCTCTTTGATTGCCAGGCTGTCATGCTGAGCACAAAGCTGAAGCTGCAGCCAGAACTAGATGTGGAAAAGGTACGTGTCTTCCCGTGTAAATTGTTTAGGTTCCAACTTGGGTAAAGGCCATATCTCCAGACCACAGTTTGGGGAGGGGAGTCTCCCACCACCGCGCCTTGGGCTTTGCTCCCCACAGGGTGGGGCCAGTAGTGCTGGAAGGCAGGGGTCACACGTGGCTGCTTGACCACGCAGGGGAGGCCCAAGAGGAGGGGCAGGGAGAGGCCAGCAAGTGCCTCTGAGCAGTGGGCTTCTGTGTGATGCGCTCAGAAACTGGCAGATCACTAGGATCCCACCAAGCTATCTTTCTCTGACGTGCAGTGGCCAGAAGAGATTTTGGGGACAGGGGCTCCCCATGAAGACCCCCCCCAACACCTTGGGGTCCTGCCCTGGCGGATGGGCCCCCATCCAACCTGGGCTCTAGGCAGCCTGACCTATGTGACCTTGTGGGGGTGTGGAATGGAGGCCAAGAGGGGTCTTTTGTGGGGGCCACTGGGAGGGGGGCTTTGTCGAGGCTTGGTTCTTATTGGGGGAACAGCCAGCACGTCCCAAGGCCCAATGCCACAGTCAGGTTCTCCCTAGGGATTTCCTGGAGGGCCTATGCAGCTTGGGGATCTGGTTGGTGTTTGCCAGGCACAAGTGCTGACATGTTGTCTTTCCCGTGGCAAGACATTCCTGGGCCACCAGGGGCCCTGCTGGTGGTTGGTTTCCATCCTGTGCCCCTCCCCCAGCTCGGTGAAGACAAAGAGGAGACAGTTGAGCTTCCCCAGGATCCTCCTTACTTCTTGGGGCCTCCAGTCCTTTGTCGTGAAGATGGGGATGACCACAGAGCCCTAGGGACGAGGCCCAGGGCACAGTGGGGCCTAGGCGGGGGGAGTACATCATGCTCAGGAACCAGCGTGTGGAGTTTCATGGAGGTGCTCAGGCACTTGGCTGGACCTCTGAGCTCCCTGAGGACGGGGAGGGTGTCAGATGGACCCATCCCCAGGCCATCTCTGTGTGACACTCCGGCTACTCTGGCTCTGGGCTGGAGGTGAGTCTGGGGTCTTGGCTCAGGGATGAAGACTGCGTGTGGAGGCACCGGGCGCCTGTAGGGCTGTGGCCTGAGGGTCTGCTGCCCCCAGATGGGCACCCCGCTGCTCCTCCAGGACAAGGTGAACCTCGTGGAGCGCTATGTGGATGGCTTCCCGGATCTCCAGAGGCGGCTGCTGGTCCTCATGGACTCCTGGTGCCAGCCCGACTTTGACATCAGAGTCGTCGCCAGGTGAGCCCCCGGGAAGGGGCGTGGGAGGGACAGCAGGCACAGGGGAAGCCACTCGCACAGCCCCCGCAGGCTCTCACCAGGTGTGTGTTGCGACCCGGTCAGCAGTGGTCTGCTCTGGAGCCAGGGGACTGGGCCTGACAGGAACGGGTGTGAGAATCACCTGCTCTTAGAGGCACAAAAGTAATTCTCCTCGGTGGCTCCTTCCCTGTGCAGCCCTGGGAGTCATGCTGCCTATTCATTCGTTCGTTCCTTCGTTCCTTTATCTAACAAATGTTTTTGGAGCACCTGTGGTGTGAAATCTGTCCCCGCAGTTACAGAGAAACAGCAGTGCGCCAGCAGGGAGCCCTTGCGGGTCAGGAAGCTGTGTGTGCACGTGCCTGTGTTTGTGTGTGAGATACGAAGGTGTCGCCTGAGCGTGGGGCCGGGGGGGCATCTGGGAGGAGGAGACTTCCTGCCACATATCTGGGGGTGGCCCAAGGGTGAAGCGGAGCTCAGAGGTCCGTGAAGCTTCCCTGGGCCACTTCGCCATCAGCAGGCAGCAGTGGCCACCCCCTGCTCCGTGCGCCCACAGACTGCAGGCTCCAGCAGCAGCCGGCCCTGCCCACCCTCCCTGGAGCGATGGGCAAGTCACTTTCACTTCTGCATTTGTCTCCTCCTCCCCGCAGTGGGGCTGATGCTGCCTGTCGCAAAGGGTTGTTGTGACTTCACATCCTGTGAAGCAGACGGGCACATGCCTCACCAGGCCAGGCAGCGTGAGCCGCGTCCCTCTCACCACGTGTTTACGTGACAGATGTAGGCAGAGCAAACAGGAATGTGCTGATGGGGCCAGAGCAGAGTCCTCACTGTGAGGAGGGGACACAGGGATGGATGAGGGGGTGAGGACGGCCCTGGAGGTTAGATTTCACTGTAGATATTGGTTCAAATTAGTGATTTAAAATAATTTCCTAGGTCTGTGCTCTGAAAGGGCCTAGAAGCAATGGCATGCTGTGGTGAGGAGCATGCCTAGCCACCAGATCTTGGTTCCTAAGTGCCATTCGCCACTGAAGGAACCAGGGCTCCATGGAGAATAGACTGGGAATAAAAATAGTGGTGCTACTGGGGCAGATTACCTTGAATTGCTAAAAATTGATGACCCCAGGGGCCAGCCTGGAGGCGCAGCAGTGAAGTTTGGGCACTCCTCTTTGGTGGCCTGGGAGTCGCACGTTTGGATCCCAGGCGTGGACCTACACTGCTCCTCAGCCACGCTGTGGCAGCATCCTACATACAAAATAGAAGAAGATTGGCACACATGCTCGCTCAGTGACAATGTTCCTCACCAAAAAAAAAAAAAATCCACGAGTCCAGAGTGATACTCAAGGGAGGAAGGGAGGAAAGCTCTTTTCTACAGTATGCCAGCTAAGAAACGAAAGAGGAATGATGAAATTAAAAATCACCATTTTGTAACTACCAATAAAATAATTGATTCAGGCACAGATCATGAAGAGATGCTAAGAAAGAAAGAGATAAAATACAAATTACCAATATCAGGAATGAAAAAAAGAACATCACTACAGATCTTGCAAACACCAGAACAGTAATAAGGATATTGTTTACACCTTGATGCAAATGCATTTGATAACTTAGATGTAATAGAAAACAGTTTACCAAAATTGATACTGGGAAAAATAGAAAATTTGAGTGATCCTATATCTGTTAAATAAATATAATCTGTAGTTTAGAACTTCACCGCAAAAGAAAACTTTAGACCCAGATGGCTTCCCTGGTGAATTCTTCCAAATATTCGAGGAAGAGATCATACCACTCTCACACAGATTCTTCCAGAGAATACAAAAGAAGGAGTACATCCCACCTTGTTTTATTCAGCCGGTTTAAGCCTTGATACCAGAACTTACAAAGGACATTAGGAGAAAGGAAAATTAAAGCTTAATGTATCTCATGAACATAGGTACAAGAATACTAAACAAAATGTCAGCAGTCAAACCAACTGACATATTGAAGAATTAATCAAGAAAATGAGAAGACAAGTTCACAGTGAAGAAAGTATTTGTAAAAGACACATCTGATAAAGGACTGTTGTCCACAATATACACAGTTCTCTTAAAACTCAACAATAAAACAAACAACCCAATTTAAAAAATGGGCCAAAGACCTTAGCAGACACCTCACCAAAGACATACGGATGGCAAGCAAATGAAAAGATGCTCCGCGTCACATGTCATCAGGTAAGTGCAAAATTAAAACAACGAGATACCACTACACACCTATTAGAATGGCCAAAATCCAGAGCACTGACGCCACCAAATGCTAGTGAGGATGCGGAGCTGCAGGAATGCACAATGGTACAGCCCCTTTTGAAGACACTTGGCAGTTTCTTACAAAACTAAACCTGCTCTGAGAGCCAGCCCGGTGGCATAGTGGTTAAGTTCTCGTGCTCTGCTTTGGCAGCTTGGGATTCATGAGTTTGGATCCTGGGTGCAACCTGTGCACCGCTTATCAAGCCCTGCTGTGTCAGCATCTCACATATAAAATAGAGGAAGATTGGCACAGATGTTAGCTCAGCGACAACCTTCCTCACAAAAAAAATGACAAAAAAACCCCAAACCTACTGCTGCCATACAATCCAGCAATTGTATGTATCCAAAGGCTTTGAAAACTTATGGCTACACAAAAACTCTATAAACATGGACGTTTATAGAAGCTTTCTTCATGATTGCCAAAACTTGGAGGCAACCAAGGTGTCCTTCAGTAGGTGAATGGATACATGAACTGTGGTCCATCCAGACATGGAGTATTATTCAGTGATAAAAAGATATGAGCTATCAAACTCTGAAAAGACATGGAAGAACCTTAGATGCCTATGACCAAGTGAAAGAAGCCAATCTGAAGAAGCTTCGTGCTGTAAGACTCAACTCTGACATTCTGGAAAAGGCAGCACTTGGAGACAGTAAGAAGACCAGTGGTTATGAGAAGGTGAGGATGGATGGGTGGAGCACAGAGGGTTTTAGGGCAGTGAATCTCCTCTGTATGGTTCTGTAACAGTGGATACACGTGATTACACATTTGTCAAGATTTGTAGCATATACATCCCCAAGGGTGAACCCTAATGTAAACTATGGGTGTTGGGTGATGATGACGTGTAGGTTCATCGGTTCTAACAAATGGGCACTGATGGGGGATGTTGATAATTGGGGAGGCTGTGCATGTGTGGGGTTCAGGGGTTATATGGAAATCTATGTGCTTTCTGCTCAGTTTTGCTGTGAAATTAAAACTGCCGTAAAAAAAGTAGTGTGTTTCTTTAAAAAGTACTGTTCCATGATCAAGTGGAATTTATTTCAGGAATGCAAGGTTGATTTAACATTCAAAGATCAATCGTAATTCACCCCATTAACAGATTAGATAACAAAGAATATATAAGTATCTCAATATGTAAAGAAAAAGGCTATAAAATTCAACTTATTCATGATTTAAAAAACTCTCAGCAAACTGCAAATAAAAAGAAACTTCCTTAATCTGATAAAATTACTGACCAAAAAAAACTACAGCAAGCATCATTTTTTTTTAAAAATAAAAGTCTTATTGAGGTATGATTACTGTGTCATAAACTGCGTGTTTGGACTGTATAATTTTGTAACTCCTGATATATGCGCATGTCCATGAAACCATCACAAGTGACATACTGCAGCCCTAGCGCCCCTCACTGTCCCCGGGGGGGTCACTGCTCTGCTTTGTGTTACTGTAGATTCTTTTACATTTTCTAGAACATTACATAAATGGAATTATGTATTACAGCTTCTTTCTCTCAGCACAATTATTTTGAGATTCATCCTTTTTTTTTCCTCAATGGGGAAAAACTGAAAGCCATCCCTCTGAGAACAGGAACAAGACAAGGGTGCCCCCTCTCGCCACTCTTTTCCAGGATAGTACTGGAGGTTTTGGGCAGAGCATTTAGGCAAGAAAAAGAAAGAAAAGGGATCCAAATAGGGAGTGAGGAAGTGAAACTTGCTGTTTGCAGATGACATGATTTTATATACAGCAAATCCTAAAGAATCCATCGGAAAGCTATTAGAAATAATCAACAATTACAGCAAAGTTTCAGGGTATGAAATAGACTTACAAAAATCAGTTGTGTTTCTATACTCTAATAACAAACTAACAGAAAGAGAAGTCAAGAACACAATCCCATTCACAATCACAACAAAAAGAATAAAATACCTTGGAGTGAATTTAACCAAGGAGGTGAAGGACTTATACAATGAAAAATATAAGACATTATTGAAAGAAATTGATGGTGATGTAAAGTAATGGAAAGATATTCCATGCACATGGATTGGAAGAATAAATATAGTTAAAATGTCCATGCTATCCAAAGCAATCTACAGATTCAGTGCAATCTCAATCAGAATCCCAATGACATTCTTCACAGGAATAGAACAAAGAATCCTAAAATTCATATAGAACAACAAAAGACCCCCTAATAGCTAAAGCAATCCTTAGAAAACAGAACACAGCTGGAGGCATCACAATCCCAGACTTCAGAATATACTACAAAGCCACAGTAATCAAAACAGCATAGGGGCCCACTCGGTGGCGCAGTGGTTGAGTTTGCATGTTCAGCTTCGGTGGTCCAGGGTTCGCAGGTTCAGAACCAGGGTGCAGATGTGGTACCACTTGTCAAGCCATGCTGTGGTAGGCGTCCCACATATAAAGTAGAGGAAGATGGGCACAGATGTTAGCTCAGCGCCAGTCTTCCTCAGTAAAAAGAGGAGGATTGGCAGCAGATGTTAGCTCAGGGCTAATCTTTTTAACAAAAACCACAAACAAAAACAAGAAAACCCAGCATGGTGCTGGTACAAAAACAGACACACAGATCAATGGAACAGAATTGAAAGCCCAGAAATAAAACCACACATCTACAGACAGCTAATCTTCAACAAAGGAGCTAAGAACGTACAATGGAGAAAGCAAAGTCTCTTGAACGGTGTTGTGAAAACTGGACAGTCACACGCAAAAGAATGAAAGTACACCATTACCTTATGCCATACAGAAAAACTAACTCAAAATGGATCAAAGATTTGAATGTAAGACCTGAAACCATAAAACTCCTAGAAGAAAATACAGGCAGTATGTTCTCTGACATCGGTCTTAAAAGGATCTTTTCAAATACCATGTCTACTCAGACAAGGGAAACAAAAGAAAAAATAAACAAGTGGGACTTCATCAGACTAAAGAGCTTCTGCAAGGCAAGGGAAACCATGAACAAAATGAAAAGACAACCCACCTCTTGGGAGGAAATATTTGCAAATCCTACATCTGGCAAGGGGTTAATCTCCAAAATATATAAAGAACTCACGCAACTCAACAACAACAAAAACAACCCAATCAAAAACTGGGCAGAGGATATGAACAGACATTTTTCCAAAGAAGACAGATGGCCAACAGGCACATGAAAAGATGTTCAACATCACTAATCATCAGGGAAATGCAAATCAAAACTACGCTAAGATATCACCCATTAGAATGGCGATAATCACCAAGAGGAAAAATAACAAGTGTTGGAGAGGTTGTGGAGAAAAGCAACCCTCGTACACTGCTGGTGGGAATGCAACTGGTGCAGCCACTATGGAAAAGAGTATGGAGATTCCTCAAAAAATTAAAAATAGAAATACTGTATGATCCAGCTATCTCACTGCTGGGTATTTCTCCAAAGAACTTGAAATCAACAATACAAAGAGATTTATGCTTCCCTGTGTTCATTGCAGCATTATTCATAACAGCCAAGAAGTGGAAGCGACCCAAGTGCCCATCCAATGATGAATGAATAAAGAAGATGCGATGTATATATATGATGGAGTACTATGCAGCTATAAAAACAGACAAAATCGTCCCAGTCGCAACAATATGGATGGTACAACACCTTGAGGGTGTTACGTTAAGTGAGATAAGCCAGACAGAGAAAGACAAACACTGCATGATTTCACTCATATGTGGAAGATAAACAAGCACACAGACAAAGAGAGCAGATCAGTGGTTACCAGAGGGAAGGTGGGTGGGCACAAAGGGTGAAGGGGCACGTATGTGTGACGACTGACCAATAATAATGTACAAATGAAATGTCACAACTTTGTAAACAATCATAACCTTAATAAAAATAAATAAGTAAAAAAGAAGGGTGCTATTCTGTCTTTTTTTTTTTTTCAGTACATCAGGGCACTGAAGTTAGCAGTGAGCTCTCTCTCTTTTTTTTTGAGGAGATTGGCCCTGAGCTAACATCTGTTGCCAATCTTGCTCTTTTTTTCTCTCCCCAAAGCCCCAGCACATACTTGTATGTTCTAGTTGTAGGTTCTTCTAGTTGTGCTGTGTGGGACGCCCCCTCAGCATGGCTTGAGCAGTGTGTAGGTCCGCACCCAGGATCTGAACTGGCGAACCCCGGGCTGCTAAAGTGGAACGCACAAACTTCACCACACATTCACACAGCCGGCCCCCATATTGTTGTTGTTGTCAGGAGTTCATTCTTTGTGTTGCCGAGTGGCATTCCAGTGTATCGATGGACCATGTTTCTTTATCCTTCACCTGTTGATGGACATCTGGGTTGTTTCCAGTTTGTGCCTGTCACAGATAAAGCTGCTGTGAACATTCATGGCCAGTCTTTGTGTGGACGCGTGCTCTCATTTCTCTCAGGTGAATACCTAGGAGTGCACTGGCCGGGTCACATGAGAGATGTGTATTCAGTTTTTTGAGAAACCACCAAGGTGTTTTCCAAAATGGTTGTACTGTTTCGCATTTCCTCCAGCAGCAAATGCGAACTACAGTTGCTCCATATTCTTGCTAATACTTGGTGTGATTGATCTTTTGCCCTTTAGCCATTCTGATAGACATGTAGTGATATCTCATTGTGGTTTTGATTTGCATTTCCCTTATGACTAGTGATGTCAAGCATATTTCCATGTGCTTATTTGCCATCTGTCTGTCTTCTTGGGAGAAGTAGCTGCTCCATCTTTTGCACATTTTTAAATTAAGTTGATTGTTTTCATGTAACTAAGTTTTGAGAGATTTAAAAATACAATCTGGGTAAAAGTCCCTTATCAGATATGTTATTTGCAGACATTTTACCCTTATCTTTTCAGTCTTTTAATCATGTCTTTCAAAGAACAAAAGTTCTTAATTTATTGAAGTCCAATTTATCAATTTTTAAAAAAAAAAAATCATGGATCGCGCTTTTAGTGTTGTACCTAAGAAATCTTTGCCTAACTCAAGGGCACATTTTCTCCTATGCTTACTTCTAGAAGTTTTATAATTTTAGGTTTTACGTTTTTTAGGGAATTTTTTTATATATGATGCTAGCTATAGTTGAAGCTCTTTTTTCACATGTGGATGTCTAAGTGTTCCTTTGTTGTAAAAGACTGGGCGTTCCCGTGAGCTGTCCTCACATCTTTGTCAGCTGTCCGAATGTGTGCAGGGCTGTCTCGGGACTCCCCACTCTGTTCTGTGACTCGTCTGTCGGTTTACTGCCAGCACCGCCTGGCTTTGACTACTGTAGCTTTATGGTAAGTGTTAAAGTCTTCACTCTCCAATTCTGTTCTTCTGACTCAAAGTCATTTTCATTATTCTAGAACTTTTGCATTTCTATATGAATTTTAGAATCCGTTTGTCAATTTCTACCCCCCAAAAAAGCCTCCTGGGCAGGAGAGCATAGCCAGGGCTGGGAGACCTCAGTCAGCGGACGCGGAGGAACGATTAAAACAATCACGAATCTGTGATCCAGATCTTTACGGAGATGCTGCGTCTGTGATAAGTGACGGACTATACACAGGAGCTTTCAGAACACCGAACAGAACTCTGGTCAATAAAACATACGATGGCAAATGAAAAGCTTAACAAAAGGTTTGCAAGATAGATTTGAAGATTTCATCCAAAAAGTAGTACGAAACAAAGAGAAGGAAAATCAGAGAGAAAAGATTTTAAAAAAACAATTTGAGATTCTGTCAAAAAGGCCCAGTACCCAAATAAGGGGAACTCCAGAAAGAAAGAAAAGAGAACCTGGAAGGGAGGAAATTACCAAATAATTCAATGAGGGCCGGTTCCCAGTCAGAGGGATGTGGCAGCCAGGCTGAGTGGGTTTGCACTGTGGCCAGCGAGTGGACAGGAAGACCCACGCTGTGGCCAAGAAGAACCCTCAAAACCTCAGAAAGAGCAGGGGTCAAACGGGGCCCTGAGCCCAGTGCTCAGGGAAGTTCTTTCACCCCAGAAGTCTCAGCTCAGCCGAACCCCCAGGCAGAGTACAGGCCTCACACATGCACCTTCTCCAGATGCACATTCCACGCACCCCACCTTGGCAGACTGCTGTGGAGTCGCTCTGCCACAGCCTGGACGTGGGAGGGGTGCAAGGTGACACAGACCACAATGGGCAGGGGTCTGGGGGGCAGCCATCGGCTGGGGGTGGGTGTGGCCTGCTCACCCCGTGGTGAGCCCGGGGTAAAGTCAGCTCGGTTCTCAGGACGGGAAACTAAGGAAGCAATAAAACTAGACAAGTACCAACCCCGTGGAGAGCTGGCGATTGTGGCTTAGCTGCTGATAATATTTGCACAGTTGTAGTATTGTAAACGCAGCATGTACGAATTAACTGAAAACTCGGATATTATTATTTGGAGAGGATGAGGAAGGAGAGACTTCCATGGTGAGGTGTCCATACAAAATACCTAAAACTGAACAATCAAGAGATCACAATACAGGTGAACTGGGAAACATGGACACAAATTCTAGACCATGACAAAATTGTTGTGCAAGGAGCTGGCGCCAGGCGGGGTGGGGTGACATGCTGCCTTTTCTATCAGCATTGTAGAATTACTTGGCTTTTAAACTGTGCACGTGTATGACTGATGAAAATAAAAATCTTAAAATGTATTAACTTAAAAAGAAAGCACCGCCAGGCAGGAGCCATGTCTCTCTCCCCGCAGGCAGCACCTGAAGGTGACCTCCTTGAAGCTGGAGAAGCTGAGCCCCAAAGTGCTGAGTCGGCAGGTCCTGCACCTGCTGGAGCGGTTCGGTCTGGACCCAGGTGAGTGAGGCCTCCACACCCTGCAACGGGGGCGGGTGAGCCCACCTGCACACGCCCAGGGATGCACAGGGCTAGTGCGGCCTGTGGTTCAGCCCCACCAGGATCTGCCCACCCCTGTGTTGTCTTCCTGTCTCCTGCCCTGCTCCGCCTCTGCAGCCCACCCTAGGCCTGGTCACTGAGCAGCAGACTGGGGTCTGCGAGCCGCTCTGCCCACCTGGCTTGTCTGCAGGGAGGTTGGGCCTGGCCTGTGCTCCTTCCTCCTCCCCTGTGGTGATCATGGGCATCCTTGTCTTTCACTCACTTCAAAGGAAAAGTCTTACTGATTATGTTTTGTAGATTACTGATAATGTAGATTACAGATTACTGATAATGTTTTGTAGATTCACTTTATTAGATTATGGAAATTCTACTCAATTCCTAGTTTGCTGAGACTGTTAATCAGAAATGGATGTTGAATTTTATCAAATGTTCTTTCTGCATTATCTGTTGGGATAATGACAGGCTTTTTCCCTAGTGGTCTGTTAGTACGTTGGATTACACGAATTGACTTTACAATGTCAAACCGACCTTGCATTCCTGTGGTAGCCCCATCTCAGTCATGTTGCATTACCATTTATATACATTGCCAGGCCTACTTTGCCAACTTTTTTTTATTTAAGGATTTTTGCATCTGTTTTCACACCTGAAGTTGGACTCAGACTTTCCTTTCCTGAAATGTGTTTTTTTTTCAGGGAATTTGTCTATTCCACTTACAGTTCCAAGTGACTGTCAGAAGTTGTTCATCATATCCCCTTGCTGTCCTTCAAGTGTCTGCAGAATTCTTGATACTAGTTATTTGAGCCTTCTCTTTTTTTCTTATTTTATTTCTCTTGATCAGTCTCACTGGAACTTTTAGCCTTTTCAAGTAACTTTAGGCTTTTTTTCCCCAGTTCTGTTGAGATATAATTGACATATAACGTTGTGTTAGTTTTAGGTGTACCACCATATAATGATTTGATGTACATATATCTTGCAAAATGATCACCACAAAAGTTTAGTTAACATTCATCACCTAGATAGTTAGTTTTTTTTCTTAGCGTGAGAAATGCTAAGGCCTATATGATATGGTATTGTGAACTTTAGTCATGTGCTGCACATGACATCCCCAGGACTTGCTTACCCTATAACTGGAAGTTTGTACTTCTGACTCCCTTCATACATTTTGCCCACACTCCCCACCCCTGCCCCTGGCAGCCACCATTCTGTCCTTTGCAACTAGGAATCAGTTTCTTTAGATTCCACATATAAATGAGGTCAGATGGTATTTGTCTTGTCTATCTGACTTACTTCACTTAGCATAGTGCCATCAAGGTCCATCTGTATTGTCACAAATGGCAGGATCCTTCTTTTTTATGGCTGAATAATATTCCGCTGTATGTATATTCCACATCTTCTTTATCCACTCGTCCATCGATGGACACTCGGGTTGTTTCCATGTCTTGGCTGTTGTGAATAACGCTGCAGTGAACGTGGGGTACAGATATCTCTTGAGATAGTGATTTGTTTCCTTTGGATAAATACCCAGTAGTGGGATAGCTGGATCACATGGTATTTCTATTTTTAATTTTTTGAGAAATCTCCATACTGTTTTCCATTGTGGCTGCACCAGTTTACATTCCTACCAACGGTGCGAGAGGGTTCCCTTTTCTCCACGTCTTTGCCAACACTTGTTACCTCATGTCTTTTTGATACTAGCCATTCTGACAAGTGTGAGGTGATATCTCACTGTGGTTTTGATTAGCCTTTCCCTGATGATTAGTGATGTTGGCTCTTTGTATGTCTTCTTTGGAAAAATGTCTGTTTGGGTCCTTTGCCCATTTCTTATTGGGTTATTTGAGGTGTTTTGCTTCTGAGTTGTATGAGTTCATTATATATTTTGGATATTAGCCCCTTATCCAATACATGGTTTGCAGATACTTTCTCCCACTCCTTAGGTGGCCTTTTCGTTCTATTAATGGTTTCTTTGCTGAGCAGAAGATTTTGGTGGGACATCATCCCATTTGTTGATTTTTGCTTTTGTTGCTTTGCTTTTGGCTTTTTTGATCCTCTCTGTTGTGTGCCCGCCCCAGCCCACTAAACTAAATTTTAAGCCTTCTTTCTTCTTAAATATATTCTCCAAGTTTCAACATTATTATTATTTTTCAGCTCAAGATATTTTCTAATTTCTCTTGTAATTCTTTTCTTTCACCCATGGGCTAATTAGAAGCGTGTTTCCTAATTTCTAAGCTATGTGACATTTTTAGTTATCCTTCTGGTGTGGTCTCTTAGCCTCATTGTGATCAGAGACCATATTTCATCTAATGTCAGTCGTTTGATTGGGTTGAAATGTGCTGTTATGAAGAAATCTATCTTCTCATCTTTGAAAGCAATCTGTCTTTTTTCTCTGGATACTTTTAGGATCTTCCTTTGTCTTTGGTATTCTACAGTTTCACTGTCAAGAGACTAGTTATAGATTTCGTTTTATTTATCTTGCTTGGGATTTATTGGGCCTTTTGAGTCTGTGCATTGGCGTCCTCAACGAGCTCTGGAAGTTCTCGGTCATTGTCTCTTTAGGCATTGCCTCTTCCCCTTTCCTCCCTCGAGCCTCCTTCTGGGACGCCGCATGACCGCTCTTCTCCTCTCTCCTCCGTGGGTTTTAACGCCATGTGTATTTTACATCCCTTCTCTTCTGTGTCGTGTAGTCTGGGTAATTTCTTCTGCTCTCCCTTCTACTTCACTAATTCTCTCTTCATCTGTGTCCAGCGTACTATGAAATCCATGCACTATTTATATTTCGATTGTTGTATTTCCAGCTCTGGAAGTTATAACTTGGTTCTTTTTGAGACCTGCCATTTTACTCTGTATGGCTTCCTGTTCCCTGAAGATATTTATTTATGTATTTATTTTTGAGGAAGATTAGCCCTGAGCTAACATCTGCCACCAATCCTACCCTTTTTGCTGAGGAAGACTGGCCCTGAGCTAACATCCGTGCCCATCTTCCTCTGCTTTATATGTGGGACGCCTACCACAGCATAGGTTGACAAGTGGTGCCGTGTCCGCACCCAGGATCCGAACTGGTGAACCCTGGGCCACTGAGGCGGAACGTGCAAACTTAACTGCTGCACCACTGGGCCAGCCCCTGAAGATATTTCTGATTTTGCCTTTTTTTTCTTTGAACATCCTACTCCTAGTTGCTTTCTGGTCTTTGTCTGAATTTCAGCCCCCTCCTTGGCTGTCACTGTCTGATTTCTCTGCCTCACTGACTGGGAGGCTAGTCAGCATCAGTGTGTGTGTGAGTCTCCAGCCTTGCATGAAGGTGCCGGCCTCCAGAAAGGAGAACACTGTTTGTGGCTTTTTGCAAATATGGAGGCGCAACATTGAGAGGTTTTGGTTCATGATTTTAAACAGCCCCTCTGCTGGCATTAGGTGTGAGGATGGGAGAAACAAGAAGAGGTGTGGACGTCTGCAGACTGGCAGTGGGTCCATCAGGGTCAGCCAGGAGCAAAGAGCTGCTGGCCCTGCTGGCAAAGGGGACGCAACCTGAAGCATGGGCTGGATCTGAGAGGACTGGCAGGGCAGTGGGACCCCTGAGGCATGGGGAGGGGAAACAGCTGCCGGAAGGGGCCACCCTCAGGCTGTAGAATAAAATCAAGAGGGTGGAGTTTTAGACCCAGAAGCTCCAAGGAGGGGCCCAGCCCTGCAGTGCCAAAGTGGCTGGGCTGACTGGAGTGTGGGGCCACAGTCCCTGCAGCTGAAGAGCTGCCTCTGTGCTGACGCCAAAGGAGTGGACCGGGGGCAGGTCCCTCTCCCCTCTCAGGAGCCCTGCCCCATGCAGAGGTCACCTGCGGGCCTGTCCTGGGCGCCAGGTCAGGGAACCCTGCTGGTGTCACTGAGCGGGAAGGCGGAGTGGGGACACCCAGGCCAGGCTGCCTGCAGCAGGGGCTCCCCGGGGAGCTCGGCACAGGATCACCCGGAGGGGTGATGGTGGCTGCTGTCGAGGTGAGGGCTGTGCCGCCTCCCTGGCAGAGGCTCCCCGACCCAGGACCCAGGACCCTGCAGGGGGAGGGAAGCGGGTGTGAGGCCTACAGACCAGGCGTGTGGGCAGGCCGTGCAGGGGGCCACGGCTGGGCCTGGGGTGCAGGCTCTGAGCAGGGCCATCCTTCCTTCCGGCAGCCCTGCCACACCTCCCTTGACGGACCTGGCTCCCACTCGGGGTTGGGTTGTGGCCTCGGCAGGCCCGGGGCCTTTGGAGGCCTCAGACTGGCCTTAGCCCAGTGCCCCCAGGACAGAGTGTGCCCCCTTGAGGGTCCACCCCACACGCAGCCACAGCCACGCCCGAGGCTGGAGCAGGTTTGGTGCCCAGTTCCCCTGGATGGTAGGCCCTCCTCTCCTGAGCCTGTAGGGGGCTGGGAGGGCCGGCGGACAGAGGGCGGGGCACATGCTTCCTGTGGGTGTCCGGGCCAGTGGCCCCGCTGGGGAGCAGGGAGGCTGTCCGCCCAGGATACAGGTGCCCACCCAGGCCTCCCGCCATGTGCGTGATCCCCGGGCCCTTCGGCAGCTTCCCCAGCTGGCTCCAGGGGTCTGTCCCAGACAAGAGGCCTCAGGGTTGCAGGGCTGCCCCTTTGCAGGAGACCTGGTAGTTCCTAATTTGAGACAATACAAGTCAGCATTTCAAGGTCCTAAAGACTGCCCACCCAGAGGGAGGGGGAGCGGCGCCCCCTGCAGTCCTTGCCATGTGTCTGTCATCGCGGCGTGTCCTCTGTTGGTGGACAGAAAACAGATAGAGAACTGGAGGTCCTGCTCGCCCCTCCACCCTGAGCTGCCCCCAGCCCACCCAGGCCAGGGTCCTGGGTGGAGCCCAGGCACGAGGCAGCGGGACGCAGTGTGGCCCAGGTCTTCGTTGGACATCAGGTGGTCAGGCCTCACTTGTCTGCACCTTTGCCTGTGAAGATCTGTTTCCTGCAGCGTGAGCAAGAGCGTCCAGGTTTGGGTTGGCGCTCAGTGCGGGCTGCCGCGTGAATTCCTCCTGTCAGTGTGGCGCCGTCTCAGGAGGCATTGGACAAAGTACCCCACTGGCAAAATGATGTGTGAAATCGTAGGCGTGTCAGGAAAGCTGGTTTCTGTCTGTTTGCAGATCTGAGTGTACGTCCGCTGCAGCAGGAACCTTGGCCTTTGGCCTTTGTCTCTGCCCAGAGGGCTCCTCTTTCAGCAATTCCTTCCTTCTTTGAGGAATTCATTCATTTCTGCATGCCTGCCTCAGGTTTTGTCTAAGCACCACCTGTGCAGTGTTGTCAGGGTTCCCAAGTGGCCTGCAAGGCACATCCGCAGGGTCTGGAGCCCTCCAGGTCCTGCATCTGGCCTGGGCAGGAAGGGGAGTGAGGGCACCCTGCCCCCCATCCAAAGAGTGGCTGGTTGCCTGCCTGGCGAGCTCCAGCCTCTGGGCAGCACTGGCCTCTGTTGTGCTCAGATGACATCCCTGCAGCAAAGGTGCTCCCCGTGCTGGGCGTGGGTGCTGGCCGGGGCGGCCTCAGCCCTGACAGGCAGGTCCCGGCTGAGGTCCGGGGAAGACAGGCCCCCACCGAGAGGCGTGGGTGGGCAGGGCTCTGTGGTCAGCATCCCACCGGGACCCACCAGGGTTCGAGGACAGCCGGCACCATGAAGGAGGAACAGCAGCTGGCTGGCTGGCTGGGCAGTGCCCTTCCTGGGCCTCCTCGGGCTCTGGATGGAATATGGAAGTGAGGCTGTGAGCAAACGTCAGACTGTAAACACGTGAGCAGGACGCCCTTCCTCAAGGAGTTCACACTCCGGTGAAGGAAGGACCTGCGTGTCCTGAAGGGCCCTGCCCGGAGAAGAGGCGGGAACGTCTGGTGGGCTGCTGCCCTCGGGACACCTGTGCAGAGGGAAGCTCAGCCGGGGGCACCGTGGGACTCAAGGTGCTGGTTAGAGGGGCGGGCAGAGGGCTCTGGGGCTCTGCCCGGGCGGGGGGCACCCACCTTCAGGCTTGGAGGGCGGCTCTGGTGTTGGGTGGAACCAAGCAGAGGCCAAGGCCGCCGGGGGCGGGGAGAGTGGGGGGGAGGGGAGTGGGAAGATGGGCAGGGCTATGTGCTCCCCAGCCCGTACTCGGCTCCCCGGCGCTGAGCCCGGCCCTCTCTTTCAGCCTTGTGTCCCAACGTTGTCGCCCAGCAGCGCCTGGCTGCCCTGCGGTACCTGTGCTACAAGCGGTTTGTGGAGGTGCGTGGCCCTTGGTGGCAGGCGCGAGCTCGGGCCTGTGCGGTGGGTGTCCCGGCAGGCCTCTCGGCCTCTGGGCTGCTGCTGGAGAAGGTCACCTTGGTGTTCACTTTTGCAGAGAAGCATGTCTCAGGAGAACTGGGCCGACCACGTGCAGGTGAGTTTGGAGGGGTCCTGTCAGCCCCCACCGGGCTTCTGGAGGCCCTGCCTGGTGTGGGCACTCAACTGAGGCCTGGGCAAGGCCAGGGGGCGAGTTCCCCTGAGAAAGTGTGTGCATGTGGCTCACGTGTGCGTGGGTGTGGCCAGACAGCTTCCAGATGGCTCACGAGCTGCTGGGTCGGTTTCCCCGATGGCCTGGCAGGTGGGGGAGCAGACGATGCAGAGAAAGGGCCCCTCCCCTCTGAGCAGAGATGCCACACCTGAGGGGAAGCTGGACCCCGGGCCTCAGGTATGCCCACCCCTGTCAGAAGGCGGTGTGCAAGAGGCGCACTCAGGGGGCGGGCTTTGCAAGAGGACCCCGCTGGGTAAGGCAGGGCCAGAGTGGCCCGGGACCCAGGAGCCCCCTTCACCTGTCCTGTCCAGGGCCCCAGGCGATGGAGGAGGAGAGGTTTGCTGAAGGTTCTGCCATGTTCACTGAGAGAAAACGCTAGACTGTCCTCGGGTGCCCTGCTTGCTCACGGCTCTGTACGCCCCCGAGGCCCAGTGAGGGTTGAGCCCCCAGACCCCTAGAAAAGAGGCAACTGCCCCCTGGGGTGATGCAGGGCAGCGAGTAGTTGGACTGCAAGGTCCACGCCCAGGGCTGGGGCCGCAGATCCCATCAGGACAGACCCTCTGGCAGCCCTTGTCCTTTAGACCTGAGCTGGACGCGGGGGTCACCATGGAAGCCAAGCTGTCCCCTGACCCCAGGGGTCTTCATGAGCACGGAGCTTCCTCAACCCCAGGTGAAATGGCCTTGGAGGAAGGTGGGGGTCTGTGGGAACCCGGGGGCAGTGTGTACAAGAACTGTGGGCTGGTCAGTGGACCTGGGAGTCACCTTCTCCTGGGCGGACAGCATAGCATCTGGTGTCCTGAGTGGCATCCAGTGGGGGGCAGCGCTGAGCCACCCCTGGAGTGATGGGGGGGGTGGTGAGTGAGTCACCAGAGAGGAACTCGGACCCGCGGGCAAGTCCCGGAAGGCCGGTCCCCCCTGGGTGCCAAGGCCGAGCCAGCCGGAAGGGCAGCGGACATCCTGAAGAATGTGGAGGGGTTTCCGCATATTGTCGTCCACGTGGGAACCCGCAGCCTGTGGGAAGCGGACGGCCTGCAGCTACTGGGGGCACAGCGCTGTCTGGGGAGGTGGCCCTGCCCATCAACCAGCAGGGCTTCTCAGGGAGCACGGAGGCCCCGGGGGCCGGAGGTCAGAAGGACGAGGGGCTCAGACTCCAGGCAGGGTGGGCTCCCATCTCCTCTCACTGAGCTACGGCGACCTGTGACTTCATGGACACGAGAGCTCAGCCAGGACTGAGACCTCCATCGGAAACCTGGTGGTGCAGCTGGCCAGGCCTCAGCCTAGGTTTCCTGAGGCTGAGGTGGGAGGCCCTGCGGCTGCGTGAGCTTCTCTGCTCCTGCACTGGGCACTGGTGTGGAGCCCCCAGCTGGATGAGAGACAGCCTTGTGTGGCCCCCATGGTCACTGCCTCCCCAAGGGCCACCTGTATGTCCAATCTCTGGACCATGGGTGCAGGAGTGTCCTGTGGCCTCACCCACCCCTGAGCCTAACAGCTGGTCAGAGGGCTGGGGGTGAGGAGGTGCCAAGGGGGTACAAGGGTGGAGAGGATGTTCTAGAAAGACGGTCCAGGGGCGGGGTGCCACGAGGAGGGGCTGTTGGCAGATCTGGGCAAGAGCAGCAGTGTGGGGTGGGGGCTTGGAGATGAGGAGAAGGGCCTGGCTGAGGCCGTGGAGTCGGGCTGGGCTGTGGGCTGAGGATGGTGGCCCTTCGCCCTGGCCCTGTCGAGGCCCCTCAGTATCTCAGTCACTGCAGAGTGGTGGTCACGGGAGCTCTGGCTTTCAGGGGACAGTCTCTTCCTCCCAGGGACTCAGAGCCAGGTCTGAGGAGTGAGCTGTGGGCCTGGGGCTGCCAGGACTGTCTCAGCCCCTCAGGGCAGAGCCAGGCAGTTCAGTCCACGTCCTGTCCCCCCAGGACCTAGTGGGGCAGAATGAGTGGCTGCAGGAGCAGCTGCTGAAGCTGCTGACCTCTCACAGCGACACGGCCACAGCCGCCCAGTGTGCCCTGGACCTTTCGCTGCCCGAAGCACGGCTGCCGGCCACAGTGGCCGCGGAACTCAGCCGACTCAGGCTCCAGGAGAGGTGAGCACCCCCCAGGCTCAGGTGGCCACAATGGCGACATACTCTTGGGAAACAACTCCATGGGTCACAAGTGCCAGTGGCTTAGGAATTAGAAAATAAGAGAAAACCAAGGGGCTGGCCTGGTGGCCTAGTGGTTAAAGCCCCACGTGCTCCACTTTGGTGTCCTGGGTTCCTGGGTTCGGATCCCAGGTGCAGACCTGCTCCACTCATCAGCCGTGCTGTGGAAGCATGCCACATACAAAATAGAGGAAGACTGGCACAGATGTGGGCTCAGGGCTAATCTTCCTCAAGCAGGAAAAAAAAAGGAAGATTGGCAACAGATGTTACCTCAGGGTCAATCTTCCTCACCAAAAAAAAGAGAGAAGAAACTAAGAATGGGCGCAGGCTCTCATTCCCAGAATGCAGGGTGCAAAGAGCAGATGGGATCCTAACCACCATGTCCACAGACCCAAGAGCCACATCCCCCACCAGGCTGCACTCCCCAGGAGCCGGAGGAACCACAGTTGGGAGGGCAGGGGTGTGTGGGTGGAGGATACAGGAGGCCAGACCCAGCAGACCCCTGCCCCTCCGGGTCAGCCCTGCTCCAGTCAGGCTGGACGTGCTGGGGTGGGTTGGGGGCACCAGGGACCCAGGGCACTGGGGGTGCCACAGCTCCACTCCTCCCAGGATGGCCGAGGCACCTTTTGAGGACAGGAGGGACGATTACTACCAGCTGCCCGTCGCCAGGGAGAATGTGCACTTCCTGGCCTCGTGGGAGGACCTGGCCAGGCACGAGGAGGAGCTGCTGCAGGTTGGTTACCAGCTCTGGCTGTTCGTCGGGCCTCTGGGTGCTGGGTCCACAGCAGCCCCCACCGCACCTGGCTCTCCATCCTGCCCCACCCCCAGGCGCCCCGCAGAGCGGGCACTCATCCCACCGACGTGAGGCCCACCCCGAGACACCTGCCCTTGGGCACTTAACCTCTTCTTGGCAGAGCTCACGGGGTGATGAGGCCCTCCCAACGCAGACCACCTCAGCTGGACTCTGGCCGTCAGGCTCAGCTGTGCCAGCTCACACTGCCCCTCTGTCTGCAGCCAGGCCTGGTCGGCGTGGACCTGGAGTGGAGGCCCTCGTTTGGCACGGGGGGCCGGCCCCAGGTGTCGCTCATGCAGGTGGCCGTGGAGGGCCACGTGTTCCTCCTGGACCTGTTGGTGCTCTCGCAGACGTCCCAGGCTTTCTCTCAGCTGGTGCTCCGGCTGCTCTCAGACCCCTCCATCACCAAGCTGGGTGAGCACAGCCCCTGGCCCTGCACCCCAGCCCTGCCTGCCCCAGGGGAGGGTGCCAGGGTGAGGCTGGGGCCTCTTCGTCCAGTGGCTGTCACACCGATAGCCCTTGCCCCTAGGTTATGGGATGGCAGGGGACCTGCGGAGCCTAGGAGCCTCCTGCCCTGCCCTGGCCCACGTGGAGAAGCAGCTTCGGGGCAGCCTGGACCTGCAGCAGGTGCACAGGCAGGTCAGTAGGGCAGAGGTGGGGACGGGGTGGGGGCATCTGTGATCCCAGGGGGTTGCTCCCCACTCTACTGAGTTACCCACACAGCCACGCCTGGGCAGGGATCTTCCACCACAAGCTGGTGGGCTGTCTGTGGTCAGGTCTTGCTCATGGTCTCTCAGTAACTTTTGGGCTGGCCCCAGCCCTGCTCCCTGGCCACAAGTCACCAGGGCCCCAGAGCACAGGGTCCCCCAGGGAAGGAGTGTCAGCACACAACCCCACACTTTCCCTAGAACCAGCTCTGGGCTCCTCTCCGAGGAGCTCCTTGCACACACCCTTGGGGGTTAAGACATCACCCCCAGAGCTGACCAGTGACTGCCTCGGCCGCCCACACCCTTCTGCCCCAGCACTGGCTGTTCCTTCTCCAGGGCAGGCCCCTCACCACCAGGGGGCACTGTCTTGGCAGATGCGGGTGGTGGACATGCCAGCCCCCAGCGTGGATGGGACCAAGGGGCCGCGGGGCCTCAGCCTCCTGGTGCAGCAGGTTCTGGGCAAGCCCCTGGACAAGAGGCAGCAGCTCTCCAACTGGGACCGGCGGCCACTGAGTGAGGCACAGCTGGTCTATGCAGGTGCGCAGCCCCCACTTCCCCCCACACTCCTACACCCCCACACCCCAAACACTGGAGGCTGACGCCAACCCCTGCCCACCCCAGCCACCGACGCCTACTGCCTGTTGGAGGTGTACCGAGTGCTGTGCAGAGACTCCACCCGCTTCCACCTGTCGGAGGACCTGGCCAAGAGCCTGAGGCCAGGGCGCAGCCAGAGACCGGGGGCCCGGGAGCAGCCCAGCCGACAGGAGGCCTCAGCCCTGCCGCAGCAGGTGGGTGAAGCTCCTCCGGGTCCCTTCATCAGGATCCTCAGGGAGGAGAATCACTGTCCTTAAAACTGGGACCTTACAGGGGTGGAGGCCTGGGGGGATCAGCTGCTTCCAGTAGGGCTCGGGTTCCTCCATGATGGACCCCCTGCCTGGAGAGAAGGAAAGCAGAACCATGGGTTAGCTTCCTGGAGGAGGAGGGGTCCCCAGCCCTCCTAACACCAGGTCTGATGTGACCCCGACCAAGGTTCAGGGCAGCATCTAGCTGTGTCCCCCTGCACACGCTTGGAGATTAATAGCAGAAACCTGAACTGAGCTGGGTGGGGAGGGCCTGCAGGGCAGCGCCCGGCCCCAGCACATCCTCAATCACTCCAAACAGGAAGTACAACCACTTTACCTCTGAGGGAAGACTTCTCTCCTACCTGGGAACAGCCCAGCCAATCAGAAACACTGCAGCCCAGCCAATCAGAAACGCCACAGCCCAGCCAATCAGAAATGCCGCAGCTCAGCCAATCAGAAACACCACAGCCCAGCCAATCAAATGCCACAGCCCAGCCAATGAGGAGCCCTTGTCACCCTGATGTGATCCTCTCCCCGAATGGACTTCTCTTTAGAGCAGCCCCTCCCTCTCCACTTTTCTCTATAAAAGCAGCTCCCTCTTTGTTCTCCAGATTTGCGTGTGGTTTGCTTAACATGTGTATAGTGAGTTACAATTCTTTGGACTATTCCCAAATAAACTCGTTTGGGCCAAAATAACAGGCAAATTTGCTTTTTAAGTTGACAGCCCTGAGCCCCTTGCCCCAGTGCACACACAACCCAAGAACTGTGTGCAGGCCCCTCTTGGGGTCCGGGGTGGGTGACCTTGTATCATTTTGCCTGTCTGTTTTTTCTGCTGTTTTCTGCACTGAGTGCATGTTGCTCATGCTTCTCTTTTTAAAGTGAAAAAAAAGAGCTGACCACATGGCCCTCAGGTCCCCACCACGTCCAGAGTGGGCCAGAGGTGGCCATGGGCTGCTGAGCAGGTCTGTGTTGCAGGTGCCTGTGGCTGAAGGCGAGGACACCACCCCGGAGATCCAGGCCAGAGCCTTCCGCGTGGTGTGTGACAGCATGCTGCAGGGGCTGGCACGGAGCCTCCGCTGTCTGGGCGTGGATGTGCTCGTGCTGGGCACCGGCGAGGACCACCGCAGGGCGGCTGAGGTGAGCAGACCTGGGGCTCAGGGCCCTGCTGTCTCCCTGTTTGGCCTTGTGTCCATTAGGAACAGGGCTGTGTCTGGGGTTGCCACAGAGGGCAGAGCTCCCCTGAGTTGTCAGGGACACTGTCGTCAAGGACAGAGATGTTTACAGCTTCCTGGCACATGGGGTCTGCCAGCTGCAGCCCTCGTGGCTCCTTTGGTGAGTGGGCCTGACACAGGAAGACCCTGGGTGGTCCCAGTCCCTCATTGGCCTTTGGCCCCTGGAAACACTGCATCCATAAGGCCCTTCCCTCCTCCCAGAAGCCAAGAGGAGATGCTGGTCATCTGGGGTGCAGGGTGCTCCCCCTGCAGGAGGCTCTGTTCACACCCACCGCAGGGAGGGACCAGCCCAGGGTCATAAGGAAACCCGGACCAGGGGTCTTAGAATTTCAGGGGTCTGAACTTGGATGCTGAACTTTTTTTTTACAGGTTTATTTAAATATAATTCATGCTACATAATTCACTCCTTAAAATGCACAATTCACTGGTTTTTTGTACATTAGCAGAGTTGTGCAAACGTCACCACAGTCAATTTTAGAACATTTTCATGGCCCATTAAATGGTCTCTCCCACCACCCCTTCCCCCAGCCCATGGCAGTTTGGTTTCTGTCTCTCTAGATTTGCGTGTTGTGGACATTTCATAAAGTGTAATCCTACAACATGTGGGCTTTTGTGGCTGGCGTCTTTCACTTGACATAGTATTTTCCAGGTTCATCTATGTTGTAGCATCTGTCAGTGCTTCACTCCTTTCTATGACCAAATAAAGTTCCATTGTACGGATGAACCACAGTGTGTTTATCTGCTCTGCCATTCATCAGTCAACACTTGGACTGTTTGTACTTCTTGGCTGTTGAGAATTGAGCTGCTGTGGAAGAGCACAGAGATGGCTGTATCATCATTTTCATTTTTAATATGTGGTTTCTTTCATACATTTAAAAACATTCTTCTGGGAAGGGGTCTCCAGGCTCACCAGAAAGCTGGCCACTGCACAGAGCTGTTCAGGGGCCCTGGGACTGCAGAGCAGTGGGGTCTGTCCATCAGTAGGTGGTGTGTAACAAGAACACACTGCCATTCCACGCACACTGCGCTAGGCCCTGGGAAGGCAGCCATGTGTGCTTCAGCTCACCAGATCCTTCCGGCACACCCAGGAACGGTATTCTTCGTGTCCCTCCCTTGCTAGTGAGGAAGCTGAGGCGGGAGAAATAGAGACCTGCCCGTGCTGCTGGCCTGAATGTGGGGAGGCTGCGGGGGGCAGGCAGAGCTGGGGGAAGACAGGCCCTGCCTGGTCGGAGCCCCGTCTCCTGTACTGGACCCTGGCATTCCTGGCGAATGTCCACTCTCTCCCCCATCCCTGGCTCCTCGTGGGCCGCGTCTCCTGGAGGCCTGGTCCCAGCATTTAGGAAAGGAGGAGCTGGTTGTGCCAAGGGTAACGCTGGCTGCCCTCCCTATAGAAACCCCTCTGTCTCCTAGCCAGAGTTGTTTCCACCTTATTGGGGGCTGCAAGGACCAGCCTTGCTCCTCAAGGACGCGAGGCAAGGCATCAGCAGTCCGGGACCCAGGGCTCAGGGGGAGGTGACTTTCCACCAGCCCCCGAAAGTGCAGGGGTCTCCACCAGATGGGAGGCAGGGTTGGCCCCTTGTTCTCCCTCGCCATATTATACCTGTGAATTTTTACATTATGTGGCAAAAAGGGTTTGCAGGTGTAATTTCCTAATCAATTGACCTCAAAATAGATTATTTTGGATTTTTCCAAATCCAAAATTTGGTGCACCCAGTGTCGTCATGTGAGCCCTTAAAAGCAGAAATGGAAGGCAGGAGCCAGACTGAAAGCCCAGGAAGGCTTGGATGTGCTGTCGTTGCTTGAAGGTGGAGGCCGCACGTCAGGGAGACAGGGACCTCACTCCTGCAGCCACCAGGGACTGGGTCCTGCCGGCGCCGAGGGAGCCTGGGAGTGGGTGCCTGCACGGAGCCCAGCTGCCAGCACCCTGGTTTCTGTGTGGAGCCTCTGAGCAGAGCCGCAGGGCGCACCTGGACTAGACTCCCACCGAGCTGCGTTTGATGCTGTGGAAGCTGCTGTGGCAAGACTAGACAACACCCAGATTGTGGTGCCTGAGGGGGGCGCTGCTGCAGCCGGCACCTAAAGACGGGGAAGTAGCGTTGAAATCAAGTAGTGGGCAGAGGCTAGAGGAGTTTTGAGGGTCCTGCTAGAAAAGGTGTAGACGGCCTTGAACAGGCTGCTGGTAGACATGCGGGTTTTTAGGGCTGAGCTGGTGAGGGCTCAGGGAAGGGAGGGGAAGAGCAGAGAAAGCTGGTCCATCTGGGCAGCGCCTACAGAGCTGAGAACAGACTGCTGGTGGGAATGCGGGTGTGGAGGAAGAAAGGGAAGCTGACCCGCTGGAGCTGGGCTGTCTATGCCCAAGAACATGAGAACAACAGGCACCCCAGTCCCCTCCCTGAGGGACACAGGACATGGGATTCATTGGTATTATTCATGACGTGAACCTGAGAGGTGCAGGCCAGGTCCTGGCCCTCCGTGTGCTAACCTGCTAGTTATGGCCGAGTCTCACCCGTAGGCTTTCCACAGTCCTTGTAACTTGTTCCATCTCCTAGGTCTTCTGATCCGAGCGCTTAGTGAATTCTGTATTTTCAGCACACGCTCTATGAAGTGGTGGGCTCTGTGTTCTCCTTCATCTGTCTCTGTAGCTTCGAGGCTTGTTTGCTCAGGTGAACATTCCGGACAATTGGGCAAGTGTGTGTCTGCTCAGTCACACCCGTAATGCTCTCTCTGACGCAGGGACAGCCCTTCCGGCATTTTCTGTAGAGAACAGCTTTTGCGGTGGGAGCCATTGCATCCCTTTGGCTGTTTTAATGTTTTATTCTATGGATCTTCCCAAATCACATGTTTCCCCATCAGACCTCCTGAGTCGATGGGTTAGTCCTTTTGTATAAAAGGGTTATGCTTTGGGTTTCATTTTCTGTACCTTTCGTGATGAGCATTCTCAATACACTTACAAGCATTACGAAAACAAGAAGGCACTGCTGGCGAGGGCTCAGGGAAGTGGGGCCACCTGTCCCTGGAGGAGGAGTGGTCCCTGCCGCACGGTGGCCGAGAGCGCAGTGGTGCTGTGTCCTGAGCTTGAGGGGGAGCAGGCCATTCACAGATGAACTGAGGGGTATTCAGCTGTGAGACCTCCCAGCAGCCAAAGGTGCGGCCTGGGTCTACTTGCTGCTTGTCATCAAGGGTGAGAGGAGATCTGTCAAGTGAGAAGGAGGCAGAACTCAGTGATTTGGGAAATTCTCAGCCTGTCCAGATGGCATAGGATGCTAAAATTTATGATCGCTCCCAAAAGCCTGGCTGCGAGAAGAGGCCGTGTATGTCTACACGAAAGCCAAAGGTCAGAGGGGGCAGTCACAAGAGTGGCGTGGGCCTTGAGGACCTCACCCAGACCTGAGCCCTCAGCCACCTCTTCGTAGCCAAGGTTAGAGGAGAAATTCCCTCCGGGGTGGACGGCTCCAGGCTGTGCGCACAGTGGTCCTGCTGCTCGTGATCCCCCGACGGCCTGCCCTACGGGCTCAGATGTGCCTGGGCAGCCCCACGTCGTAAGCCAGTTCTTGTGATCAGTCTCTCTCTGTCTCTCCCGCTGGTTCTGCTTCTCTAGGCGACCCTGACTCAGACAGTTGTTGGTTCCAGAAGTGGTTCCAGGGTAGGGTCTTCAGGATGCGTTCTCCGCGTCGGTCTCCTAATCTGATAGATTTAAAGGCACTGTCTCCAGTGGTAAAGAGGTCACTGGTGGTCCGTGGTGTGATGTGGCAAAAGTTACCCTAAGTGATGCCATTGGATGCCCCTGGTTGAATGCCTGCAGAAGGAGAGATTCTGAGTGACCGTGCATTTGCCGCTCAGGACACTTGAGTCACAGTAGCGAGTACAATGGGACCGGCTGGCCGCTCTCACTGTGCGGGGAAGTGGGAGACAGAGGGATGTGTGCAGGCTGCACGTCCCCGGCTCACGCTCTGCATGAGGATCCTGAGAGCTTCTACATCTCAGAAGCATCTCTTCTGCTGCCCCAGAAGCAGCCCTGCTCTCCTGAAGCCGCAGCTGAGACTGTGGAGACCACCCCAGAGTCATGCTGTGACGGGCTGAGTTACGACATGAGCTGCACTCCCCGTTGGTGGTGTCAAACCGTCCGTCTTCCCACTCCTGTTGGTGTAAAATTATAGTCCGTGTTTTTTTTTTAAAGATTGGCATCTGAGCTAACAACTGTTCCCAATCTTTTATTATTATTGCTTTTTCTCCCCAAATACCCCCAGTACATAGTTGTATATTTTAGTTGTGGGTCCTTCTAGTTGTGGCATGTGGGACGCCGCCTCAACATGGCCTGATGAGCGGTGCCATGTCCATGCCCGGGATCTGAACCTGCGAAACCCTGGGCCGCCAAAGCAGAGCGAGCGAACTTAACTACTCAGCCACGGGGCCGGCCCCTATTCCATGTATTTTAACTCGTCTTTCTCTGAGTCTCCGTGAAGTTGAGTGTCTTTTCACATGTTCACTAGCTCCTTGTGCCTTCTGCTCTGTGAACTGCCTTGTGCAAAAGAGGGTTAATGGAGCAGGTCGGACACTGTCCTGAGAACAGCCTGCTTGCAAGGCTGGTCCTCGGCTGGCCTTGGGAGCGTGGCTGGTAAACGGTTCCCTGGCTGAGGTGAACCTGTCGCTAAATGGTGAGGTGGCTCCCTGTGCCTGGACCATGCCACAGCATGGTCTCTGTGGACACTTGTTCCTTCTGGGCGTCTGCAGTGTGGGTGTCTGCCAGGCAGAGCCCTGGTACAGACATCAGGTGCTGAGTCTGACGGACAACACGCACTGTGCGTGTTATTACAGCCCTGAAGGAGCGGCTCTGCTTGTCCCAGTGGCTCTGCCGGGAGCGGACTCTGGAAGCTTCTGCCTGGTTTCCTCTGCTCTTTGCCCTCC